TTTTTCCAAAGGGTTAACCCATGGTTTTGGTCCAAAATGGCCATTTTTCCAACATTTTTTTTTTAGGCAATATAGGCTAGGAAAATGTCTTTTATGATATTCTAGAACGAAAAAACGCCTTTCTAGGCTATAAAAACAAGAAGTTCAAAAAGTCCAAAATTGACATTTTTCCAAAGGGTTAACCCATGGTTTTGGTCCAAAAACGGCCATTTTTCCAACTTTTTTTTTTTTTTAATATAGGGCAGGAAAGTGTCTTTTATGATATTCTAGAACGAAAAAACGCCTTTCTAGGATAAAAAAACAAGAAGTCCAAAAAGTCCAAAAATTGACATTTGTCCAAAGGGGTTAACCCATGGTTTTGGTCCAAAAATGGCCATTTTTCCAACTTTTTTTTTTTTAGGCAATATAGGCTAAGAAAATGTCTTTTATGATATTCTAGAACGAAAAAACGCCTTTGTAGGCTATGAAAACAACAAGTCCAAAAAGTCCAAAAATTGACATTTTTCCAAAGGGGTTAACCCATGGTTTTTGTCCAAAAATGGCCGTTTTTTCAAACTTTTTTTTTTTGGCAATATAGGCTAGGAAAATGTGTTTTATGATATCCTAGAACGAAAAAACGCCTTTCTAGGCTATAAAAACAAGAAGTCCAAAAGGTCCAAAAATTGACATTTTTCCAAAGGGGTTAACCCATGGTTTTGGTCCAAAAATGGCCATTTTTCCAACTTTTTTTTTTTTAGGCAATATAGGCTAGGAAAATGTCTTTTATGATATTCTAGAACGAAAAAACCCCTTTCTAGGCTATAAAGACAAGAAGTCCAAAAAGCCCAAAAATTGACATTTTTCCAAAGGGGTTAACCCATGGTTTTGGTCCAAAAACGGCAATTTTTCCAACTTTTTTTTTTTCGCAATATAGGCTAGGAAAATGTCTTTTATGATATTCTAGAACGAAAAAACGCCTTTCTAGGCTATTAAAACAAGAAGTCCAAAAAGTCCAAAAATTGACATTTTTCCAAAGGGGTTAACCCATTCTAGGCTAGGAAAATGTCTTTTATGATATTCTAGAACGAAAAAACGCCTTTCTAGGCTATAAAAACAAGAAGTCCAAAAAGTCCAAAAATTGACATTTTTCCAAAGGGGTTAACTCATGGTTTTGGTCCAAAAATGACAATTTTTCCAACTCTCTTGTTTTGGCAATATAGGCTACGAAAATGTCTTTTATGATATTCTAGAACGAAAAAACGCCTTTCTAGGCTATAAAAACAACAAGTCCAAAAAGGCCAAAAATTGACATTTTTCCAAAGGTGTTAGCCCATGGTTTTGGTCCAAAAATGGCCATTTTTCCAACTCTCTTTTTTTGGCAATATAGGCTAGGAAAATGTCTTTTATGATATTCTAGAACGAAAAAACGCCTTTCTAGGCTATAAAAACAAGAAGTCCAAAAAGTCCAAAAATTGACATTTTTTCAAAGGGGTTAGCCCATGGTTTTGGTCCAAAAATGGCCATTTTTCCAACTCTTTTTTTTTGGCAATATAGGCTAGGAAAATGTCTTTTATGATATTGTAGAACGAAAAAGCGCCTTTCTAGGTTATAAAAACAACAAGTCCAAAAAGTCCAAAAATTGACATTTTTCCAAAGGGGTTAACCCATGGTTTTGGTCCAAAAATGGCCATTTTTCCAACTCTGTTTTTTTGGCAATATAGGCCAGGAAAATGTCTTTTATGATATTCTAGAACGAAAAAACGCCTTTCTAGGCTATAAAAACAAGAAGTCCAAAAAGTCCAAAAATTGACATTTTTCCAAAGGGATTAACCCATGGTTTTGGTCCAAAAATGGCCATTTTTCCAACTCTCTTTTTTTGGCAATATAGGCTAGGAAAATGTCTTTTATGATATTCTAGAACGAAAAAACGCCTTTCTAGGTTATAAAAACAAGAAGTCCAAAAAGTCCAAAAATTGACTTTTTTCCAAAGGGGTTAACCCATGGTTTTGGTCCAAAAATGGCCATTTTTTGCACTTTCTCTTTTTAAGCATTATAGGCCAGGAAAATGTCTTTTATGATATTGTAGAACGAAAAAACGCCTTTCTAGGCTATAACAACTAGAAGTTTGAAAAGTCGAAAAATTGACATATTTCCTAAGGGGTTAACCCACGGTTTTAGCCCAAAAATTGCCTTTTTTCCAGCTTTTTTTTAGGCATTATGGGGAGGAAAATTTCTGTTATGATATTCTAGAACGAAAAAACGCCTTTCTAGGCTATAAAAAGAAGAAGTTCAACAAGTCGAAAAATTGACATTTTTCCAAAGGGGTTAGCCCATGGTTTTTGTTTAAGAATGTCCATTTTTGCAAAGTTTTTGTTTTAGGCAATATAGGCCTGGAAATTTCTTTTATGATGTTCTTGAACGGAAAGACGACTGTCTAGAATATAAATACCAGAAGTTTAAAAAGTCGAAAAAATGACTTTTTTTCAAAGGGGTTAACCCATGGTTTTGGTCCAAAAATGGCCATTTTTTCCACTTTTTTTATGCATTATAGGCCAGGAAAATGTCTTTTATGATATTCTAGAACGAAAAAACGCCTTTCTAGGCTATAAAAACAAGAATTTCAAAAAGTCGTAAAATTGACATTTTTCTAAAGGGGTTAACGCATGGTTTTGGTCCAGAAATGGCGTTTTTTGCAAGTTTTTTGATTTCGCAAAATATCCCAAAAAAATATGTTTGATAATATTTTAGAAACCAAAAAATGCTTTTAAGACAATAAAAACGAGAAGTTTAAAAATCGAAAAATGGGGATGTTTTCAATGGGGTTAGTTAATGGTTTTGGTCAGTTATGTGAAGTTTAGCCTTGGTTTTATTTTTTGTAAAATAAGGCAAAAGAAATGTGTTTTGCAATATTTTGGAAATAAAAGATGCTTTCAAGACTATAAAAAAGAAAAGTTAAAAAAATCGAAAAATGGGGATCTTTCCCAGGGGTTAGTCCACGGTTTTTGGTCAATAATGTAAAATGTAACCATGTTTTTTTTTTTCGCAAAATAAGGGAAAAAATGTGTATGACAATATTTTAGAAACTAAAACATTATTTTAAGATAATAAAAACGAGAAGTTTAAAACCTCGAAAAATTGGGATTTTTGCAAAGGGGTTAGTCCGTGGTTTTGGTCAAAAATGGGAAGTTTGGCCATGTTGTTATTTTTCGCAAAATAAGCGAAAAAAATGTGTTTGAAGACTATAAGAACGAAAAGTTCAAAAAATCCAAAAACTTGGATTTTTCCAAAGCGGTTAGTCCATGGATTTGTTAAAAAATGTAAAATTTTGCCATGTTTTTATTTAGTCCATGGTTGTAGTCAAAAATGTGAAGTTTAGCCATGTCTTTATGTTTTTGCAAAATAAGCCAAAAAAATGTGTTTGAAAATATTTTAGAAACAAAAAAATCCTTTGAAGACTATAAAATTGAAGAGTTAAAAAAATCGAAAAATTGGGATTTTTCCAAAGGGTTAGTCCATGGTTTTGGCCAAAAAGTTAAAATGTGGCCATGTTTTTGTTTTTCGCAAAATAAGGCAAAAAATGTGTTTGACAATATTTTAGAAACAAAAACATGATTTCAAGACAATAAAAATGAGAAGTTTAAAAAATCGAAAAATTGGGATTTTTGCAAAGGGGTTAGACTATGGTTTTGGTCAAAAATGTGAAGTTTAGCCATGTTTATATTTTTCGCAAAATAAGCCAAAAAATTGTGTTTGACAACATTTTGAAAACAAAAAATGACTTGAAGACTGTAAAAATGAGAAGTTAAAAAAATCGAAAAATTGGGATTTTTCCAAAGGGGTTAGTCCATGGTTTTGGTCAAAAATGTAAAATGTGGCCATGTTTTTATTTTTCGCAAAATAAGCCAAAAAAAATGTGTTTGAGAATATTTTAGAAACAAAAAAAGCATTTCAAGAGTATAAAAACGAGAAGTTAAAAAATTGAAAAATTGGGATATTTTCAAAGGGTTTAGTCTATGGTTTTGGTCAAGAAGGTGAATGTTTTTCCTTTTTTTTGTTTTAGTCAAAATACGTCACGTTAGTGTGTTTGACAATATTTTAGACAGAAAAAAGCCTTTTAAGACTATAAAGACGGAAAGTAAAAAAAAAAAAAAGTCGATAAATTGGGATTTTTCTAAAGTGATTAGTCCGTGGTTTTTGGTCAAAAATTTGAAATTTTCCCATGTTTGTATTTTAGGTTATAGGGAAAATATGCCAGGAAATGTGTTTACAATATTCTAGAAAGAAAAAAAGCCTTTCTAGACCCTAAAAGCAAGAAGTTACAAAAGTCGAAAAATTGGGATTTTTCCAAATCCGTTATATACTTAGTCAATGGTTTGGTCAAAATTCGAAAATTTTCCATATTTTATATTAGGCAAAATAAGCCAAGGAAATGTGTTTGACGATATTCTACAAAGAAAGAAAAGCCTGCCTATCCTCCAACATGGAATTTTTGGACTATATGAGATCGCTCATTTTGTATCCAGACTATACTCAAAAACTAGTTTGTTTTCTTTTTTGACGAAAAATAAGCAATAAAAAAATTTTGATTTTTAGCTGATATTGTGGCTAGCGTTTTTCGAAAAAATGCAAATTTAGACTATATAAGATCAATGTTTTTAAAGAGGGAAAAGGCTTTTTTTGTAAGTAGAACTATATCCTTTTATGACAACAAATATCCTAAGAAAAAAAAACATTTTTATTATAAGAAAAAATCATGGGTTGCCCCTTTTGAAAAAAATGCAATTTTATGTTTTTATAACATGATACTCTTATGGGCTTGGAAGTCTTGTTCTCTATTTAGAACATGCTCAAATGTTATTTTACGGCCTTTTTTGACCAAAAACAAGCAATAAATAAGTATAAATTTTTGGCAAAAATCGTGGGTTAACCTCTTTTTTAACTAGAACTTGTTCACACTCTATTTTATGTCTTGTTTTGTGAGAAAATATTCATTAGAAACATTTTTAATTTTAAGACAAAATCGTCGCTTAACCCCTTTGGAAAAATGCAATGTTTCGACTATACAAGATGGATATTTTTATCGTCTGGAAAGTCTTGTTTTGTGTGTAGAGCATGCTTATATTCTATTTTACGACCTATTTTGACCAAACATAATCCGATATTGGCCCAAACCATTTCATCGGTCAATCCTTTTGGAGAAAAGCTTTTTTTTTGACTAAATAAGAGCGATATTTTTATTTCTTTGTCTAATTTACAGATGACAGATATTTTTAAAAACGATCGTCTTTGTACTTCATTCACTTATTCGACAGATATTCGTTTACATATTCGAGGATTTTGCACATATTTACATAATACTTAAATAACGTGCTTAATATATTTTTTTTCCTGCATGAAAGAATTAAGAGAAAGCAAACAGAACTCAGAGTTTGTCTTATCTGAGATCATTTGCAGCAATAATTCTTATCGTGCATGCATTTGCAATGTTCTTAATTTTATCCTGTCAATTACACTGTGGAAATCTTTTCACCGATTTCAGATCTGGCATTCTTTGAAGTTCTCTTGCTTGACGATTGCGCATGCGTAACTGTTCCCGTAAGTGTTGATGAATCTGATGGAGCAGGCCTAAGAAGAAAAAGAGAAACGATGTGTGAGTTGACTGATAAGTGGTGACTAACTGAAGGTGTTAGAAAAGGGGGAAGGGAAAGTAAAGAAGCACTTTCAAGCTTGACAACACAATGAATCCATCAGGGAGGGGCCTGACGGGGCTAGAATGAAAGATGTTTTGAGTGACAGCAATCGAGGTGGTTTTTTGCAGTTCGACAGTGGGTTTGCCCAAATTTTCGGGTAGATCGCACCACAGATGTGGTAGTGTCAAGGCATATGAAGAGGGAAAAGGCCTCACTTCTGTTTGAGGTCCTTCCCTCAACAACATTTTGGCTTAAGTTGCCCACAAGTTCATACAGATGCCCCTGCTGCTGTATAACAACACTTTGTTGGTCGGGGCAAGTTGCTTACAGCTGTAAAAGCACTGAGCTTACACGAAAGGAGAACTTTTAAGTATGTCGTTCGCCTACTCACTTTTTCTTCGAGAAAAACAACTGTTTCACCACATCCTTGAATTTCCTCTTATTCTTAACACCAACACCATCGTCGACATGATCATCCTTTTCAATAGCTGCTTCGTTATCCGCATTTTCCATCTCTGCAGATATCCAGTCTCCCCAGCTACGTCTGTCTAAATGAGATAATTTTCGCTTTGTTTCGCTTGATCCACACACATTTGAGAGTGAACGGGAAAGTTTTTCTCCCCTTTCGGGCGTTGAAAGTTTCCGAGTCCTGATTGCAAGTGTGTTGCATGGTGAGCTACCGGGTGTCTCGGCCACTCCTGAATCCGCAAGACTGTCTTGCGAAATGTGAGATAAGCTTTTCTTGCTTCCAGATAAAGGTGATGTATCTCCTGAAAATACACTAGAGTTCCTCGAACAAACTGAAAGCCGCGAAGTTCTTCTTCGTGCCGTAGAAAGATTTGGTCGCGGTATCCATACATCTGAAGAGTTAAGAGATGTTTCTTTTGTCATGCTAGGGTCAGATAGCACTTTGTCCCTCAACTTAATCTCCGGCTCTACTAACTTAAAATTGGGAGGAACTCCTAAAGAAACAGGACGAGGTCTCGAATGAAAGACCACAGCATTTTTCCTCACACTTTTAGTAGTTGGGCTGCAGGGAGGCGTTTCGCCTGTCTTTAAGTCCGTACTTATTACATTTACATTAGCATTTTCATCTTCGAGTTTTCTTTGACATAAAACAGTTTTGTTGTCCTCTAAACAATCTGGGATGCTGTTATTTTCTTTTGACGTTAGAGCGCTTTCTGCTTCCCCAGTACTTTCTCTCTTGGACTTTTCCTCTGTTGACCGTCTCCATTTTTTCGATCTCCTTTGCAAGTTTCTGATCAAATTGCCGGAGACTGTTCGAAATACGCTTTGATGTCTGTGAAGTACAAAAGAAAAAGAAATGTGATCAGTCCACAGGCTGGAGATACCGGAACAACTCTTCAGTTTACAACGCACTATTCTTTCTAACACGGTCTCTGGTACTATCTAATTCCAAGCTCTCAAGCTTAAAGACATGTCGTGTATGTGAAGTTATTCCACGTCAGGGAGTTCAAAGAGTTTCATTTTAAACAGTCCAGACCGCATTGCAAAGAAAAACTTTTTTGTAAGAGCATTTTCAAAAATGCTTCGGATTTGCTCATTTTGTTATTTTAATGTAAACGCAAGGTCATTTAGATACATACACATCACAATAACGCAGACACTCGTCAGTCTAACGGCATTGGGCAGATTAACTTGTTTCGACAAATAGCGTTTGAAATGTTTACTTTGCTTGCTTGTTGTGACGGGTCAAGAAAGTGAATATAAAACATGGCTGAAAACTCACCCTGAGCTTTTGGCCTCCTTTACATCCTCTGCGTCCTCTTCATCAATCGTAGCAAACTCTTCTTGGTTGTCTCGTTCACAGACTGTCTCTACATCGCCTGTACTAACAGGCCGCGTTTGACTTTCGGCGGGAATTTCCTCAGTTTCAGAAACACGAGATAGAGTAGGGGATCCACTGAAATAAGAAGACAATAAAATAATTAAAGGACCCATCAACATCAAAATGATGGAAGAGATTATGGACAGGAAGAAATAGACCCTTTTAACCCTTTCAGTCTCAATAGTGACCACCATCAATTTTCTCCTAACAATATCCATACAATGTCAAGAGATTAGGTTTTGAGAATTAATAAAATGATCACCTTAGAGAAAATGCTTTGATCTTTTATCAAATTCTCCCAACTCATTCTTTAAGGAAATGTATAGAGATCAGTTTGGAGAATTTGGACATGTATATTGGGGCTTAAAGGATTAATTGAACCCGTATCTTGGCGCATGCATTGTGATTGATGTGACGATGAAAAATTGTCAGCTAATTTCTCACGGGAAAAATAGCTCATAACACTGGGTTAGTACAACCAAAAGATCAGGAAAATCTTTTCTCGCATTTCGCTCCAGAGAGACATCTTATATTTTATTCTCCCAAAATAAAAAAATTTCGAGGTAGTCGTTGTGTTGGGGTTTTCGATTGCAATACTACGAGTATAAAAAGTCTAATCAAAGTAGTTTTAACAACCGTAAATGTTTCCTGGTTAAAAATTGTTTTGAAAGGAATCAACAAATAAGACCGCAATTGCAATAGGCAAGAGACGACAAGTTGATCGTGTTCAACCCACCAATCCTTACACGAGATGGCATGTATCGTGAATGCGATCTACTGCTGTTATTACATGGTATTTATGACGTTATCTAAGCCTGGCTTCAGTTTCATTTTGATCGCCGCATACCTGTTCTCCAAAACGATCTCGTGACGCTCTGGTGATGTCTCTTGTGCAGAATTAATTCCTTGTCCACCGGACTCTATCGATATGCTACTGGCTTCTAAAGATGTTCTGTGAAAGTAATATCAAATAATAATGAATATCAGGGTCAGAATTACCCGCTAGGGCGTTTAGGGACTTGACAAAATACGATCATACGAATGGCCGTTTTTTGAGGCTGCCAAAGAGACTGGGCTGGTGCTGTGTCGAACTGCATTATGGTAATGTTTCGTTGTATTTGGACCATTTTCGATAAATTAAAATTCATACTTGGCTCCTAGGCTTGGGGAAATAAAACAAAAGAAATGTATTATTCATTGCTGAGCCTCAAGATGATTTCTTTTGATTTATTCTCCCGAGCCTCGTAGCCAAGTATGAATATTAATATACGAAAATGGTCGACTTTAAATGAGATACCGTCCCCAAACATTCAACACTGACCCGGTAACGCGCGCTCTTATCCTCATGAATTTTACGATCATCGCCAGTGTGGCGTGGATAAAGAATTGCGCGATGGCTTTGGGACACTAAAGAGGAAGCCAAGGCGATACTGTCAGAAATAGATGTGTAAATGTGGGCTATGAAAAGAAACGGAACTCTTGGGTAACCACTTAGGGAAAAAGAAGGTACGCACCTCTCATTTTCAACTGGATTTAGCTTGTTTCTCAGTGGTTCTCTTAAGGATTTTCTTCTTAAAGATCCGCTGCAGAAAAGATTAATCCATAAGACATTGATTAGAGTTATATAAACTTAAGGACTTGTCAAACAGTTAACCAGAATGGCCCTCGAAAAATCGTAATCTCGAAAATAAAATTCACTTGGTGAGTGCATGACTACACTTGTTTTTTTTTAAATCGGTAGCAGGTTTTTGCCGACGAAATGGAAAACTGAGTTCCTTTTATTCCCTCTAAGTTGCGATTCAAAGTGCAACGATCTTTGTCATCTTTATTCTCGCAAACCTGTCTACAATGAAGTGCCATTTTTTTGTGGGGGGTGGGCAATTACCAAATATAATATTGCAGAAGAAAAATAGGAGGGAGGAGAGGGAAAAAAATTCATGCAAGTCCCATCTAATCTTGGAATTTGTATCATAGGCATGTTTTATAGAAGGGAATCCCAATCTTTTTAATCCTTTGCCGATGTAGCTGTTTAGGGCTGTCGACGTACCGCTTTTTGAAACTCCGTCGCGTTTGGGTATTGTGAGCCAGTTTGCAAGAACTCTGAATAGAGTCGTTCAGGATATTAATCATCTGTTTCATTGTTTCCAGAGCATTCTCGATGTGGAAGCTGTCAGGATGTCCCGCATCAGTATACTTTGAAAGTTGCTGTGAAAAATAGTGTAAAATGATTAACATGTTTACCACTTTTTGTTCCCGTTGGCAAAGATATGTTGCTTTAAAAGCGAGAAGGGGACTGGAGCCGAAATGCGTCCCGCAAGTGTTTCTGGGATTGTTATTGGGCACGCGCCAGTCAGCTATTGGCCAGTAGCCCACGTTCGATATATTAGAATTCTAGCATGACTCTGAGGCCTTCTGGTCATTTTGCTACATTTTGTTTGGTTGTCTTTGTGCTCAAGTCTCTTTTGGGAATTGCTAGACAATGGAGTCTTGACAAATTTGCAATTTTGACCCTAAAGCCTCGGAGTCATGTTAGAATTTTAATATATCGAACTTGGGCTATTGTTTTCCATTTCCCAAGGAACAGAACCAGAGATCTTTGCGAAGTTAACTCGGCCCAGTGTCCTCGTTTCTAGTACGAAAGTTTACTCACCCTGAGGAGGAGAACGTATCTTGGGAGTCGCTGGATGGGAGTGAGGAGAAATGAGGCTAAATCGAGTCCTTCGCATTCAGAATTTGAAGAGCAAGTCTAGAAGAAGAACAGCAAAAGAGTTAGTGATTCATTGTCAGAACACCAACACCATTTTGTTATACCGGTAGCCCACTCAAGCCTGAAGCCTGATATCCAGTAAAAATGAGACATAAGAGGAAAGGGAAAAAAATCATAGAACGTTTTGCAATTATGCGAAATGTTTTATTCCAGAGCAAAGTTAAAGTCGAGTTAAAAAAAAGGTTCGTTCTCTAGAAGAAGGTATAGAAAACTGACTTCTCGTGAATAAGAATTAATCGTCTTAAGGTTACCTGTAAAAATTTCCTAAATTTTTGAGATCCTCTTGAACATTTATTTATGACACCAATAGCTTTAGGAAAGTTGTTGACGTAGTTGGAGTAAATTCGTAAAACATCAATCTGTAAACAAAAACAATTAATCAAGACAAAGAAGGTACTGCAGTGTCACTACAACAAAAGTTTATATTAATAGATCAGGTATTCATGTCCGCAACGAGCTAGATGGACGAGGTTGGTGGTCAATATTGTTGTTAGATAGAGCAGTGGCAGATTGGGAGTGGTCTGAAACCCCTATAGATTCACCATCACTACAAATGTAGTTGTTAACTAAGCGCTTTACAACCGATAATTGCCTGAATCTTTCATCTGGTAAAGCTTTAAACAACCTGCGAAGCATTCCATTATCTTAAGTCGAGAGAATGCTTTGTTTCGAATAGCGCAAGCTTGTTTAAACCCCCTTTGTAATTAAGCTTACGCCAAAAAAAAAAAGTAAGGCGAGACATGTGGGAATTATTAACCTAAAAACGTTTGCGCCCGCGTGCACATCCCCTTATTAATGTCCCCGAATTGGTGGTAGGATTGGAGTACATTCTGCACTTACATGATAAGAACCGCTGAGCTTAGTGAATATATCGCCCACAATGCCTTGGAGCTTCCAGTTTTGAAGTCTGTCTTCCAAGTCCTTCATAAAATGAGTATGGCTGTTGAGTATTTGCACAAGCTCTCCTGGGAATAACACACTTGAAAGAGAAAGTGGAAAATAAAACCAATTAGCAAAAAATCCGAAATTATTTTTTAATTTTGATTTCACGTACTACTAAGTTTTCAGAAATATCATTAACAAAATTTTTACTGGAGAATTATATAAACAAACACCAGGATTTACAGCTAGGGTAAAACCAGGTATAATAGCGCGATCACGAGGAAACGCGGCAATCATTTCACTGGGGTGGACTGCCAAGGAAGAACAAATAGCGCGAAACAACAACAAACAAACAAACAAAAGGGCATCCAAAAAACAGATCAGCAATTAAGAGCAGTTTATGATATAACGTTGTTTTGTTTTGCCACTCTCCTTTCAAAAGCTTTTACGTCAGCTTTGTCCAGAGAGCATTTAAACAAAAGAAAATCTGCGAAGACTTCGTTTTAAAAACCTTCGGAAAGTCAGTTTGTCGCGAGAAACCGTTTATAACTGTTTAAAACTGGAAAAGTTATGAAGGCTACATGAAGAAGCCACTTTCAAACCGTAAGTGAACAAAAACAAAATAGATTTTTCCAAGAGTAGTACAATAATTAGGTATGCGTAAAATCAACCAATTTGTAGGTCAATTGCTGCTAATTGTACGTTTGGCAAGAAAACAGCTATAAACTATATTATAAGGTATTTAAAATATTACACCCCTACTTTAAATTAAAACCAATATTTATCTTAACTAATAACGGTTGGACTAACTTACTCAATGTCTTTAGCTGGAATTAGGTTGGTTTCCCTCATTGGCTTTTCAAATACCTTAACATAGAACAAATTAAATAAAATGGATTATTAAATCGAATAAACAATGCAAAGTTGGTGTTATCTGTAATATTATGCAAAATCTTTAGGTATCATCCGTGGGAAAGCGGGAAACCTCATAATTTGATTATTTATAAGTTTGTTTCTCGTAAATAAAGTATATTTGTTGCCGTCGTTTACATGTGTATATAAAGAGCTTACTTGTTTAATGACTTAATTTACTTGTGTGGGTAATCCGGATGGCTTTGGCTAAGAAGGTCTCTTCATTCGTGATAAAATCTTAAAATGCTTTTAATCATATGAAAGCGACTGTGCATTCCTTTTAATGCCATGATGCTATATAACTGTAGTTTGGGTAGATAAAAACCGTACTGAATGACAACTGAAACCAACCAGGAAGCTGGCACTTACACTTTCTGAATGTTCTAGTTTATGTTTTGAGCCTGAAACTTTCTAAACTATCTATTTTTAAGTTACATGTAAGAATATAATTTCAAGAAGCACCCAGTAAACCTAAGAGTTTGATTCAAGATCTTAACATATTATCAAAAGTTGTTGGATACGTGAAAAGTAATAATAATGTTTTTAGTTCGCCTAGTTTTGGACGGTACGTTTTTAGTATGTTTTGTACATTTTTAACTAAGAAAATCAGCTTTTTATTTTGAACCGTCTGCCAGCCACTCTCTTGGGAAGCAAAACTAATAACAAATAAAGGACTGGAATATTGCTATTGAGTGGCTTAGCGAGCATGAAAGCACCAATAAATCTTACCTCTTTCAAGGTCCTTAAGCATGTCAGATATTTCTTCTCTGTATCTAATATTTCTTTAGCAACTTGATATCTCTTTTCTATAAAAAACGAAAACGTAGACAATTTGACAGATTGCATAGACAAGCTGGCAATATCCAGCGTTAAATCAGGTAGCGTATATTTTAGTCCAGGTCTTTTACTGTTATGTAACGTTTTAATACAACTGTGTACATGTTTGTCCTGTTGATTGAAAGGTTAATTTGCACCTGAAGAGAGTCAACATATTTTGATTCTTTAGAGCAACATTTCAAGAAAGTGCCTCCAAACGTTAAATTCATCTCAGCACTAGTATTCAGCTTGGTCAATTTTATATCATTCGATTCCACCAAAAAAAATTACGTGTTATATCTATATAATAAAAGTGTATTATTAAAAAAATTAAGCCTACTGACTTGTTTTCGACTAATATCCTTGTATTTCAAGAGTTGAAATTTAATGGAAGTTGAAAGAGTGGAAAGAAACAAATACAGTTAAGGTCCATGAAATGAAGATGTGATGTGAAATAAATTTGTAATTAATGACTTTTGCTGAAAACTATTCCCAAGCAACCAAACAAACCGCAATATAAAAGGATGTTGCTAAGTCAAAACGACACTTGCAAGACGCTCTGGCGTAGGATTCTAACACTAGCAATACCCATGAGGCATTTATTGGACAAAAATAAAAATGTGAAATATCACTAATTATACTGATATAATATAACCCTTAATACTCGGTAACAAAAGCATTTTTTTTTTCATCTCTCTTAGTAAAGCTGATCTTAATTTTTGTGATTTTTTTTAACATTTTAACCTTTTCAGTCTTGTTCAAACGCTAATTTCAAAGTTTGAGGGTCAATATCCGATCCAATCGTCGCTTTCTGGGATCAGTGGAGTACGTCTTATATTGATCTGCTTGACTGATGTTTATAAAAATACCACATGTAATTTGTAATTTTCTCTCCCTACAGACATTTACCGCAAATGTTTAATGTACCTTTTTTTTTAATTCACAGAAGCGGATTTTAAATCACAGTGGCCTTAAAACCTGTCAATTCTTGAAAAAACTCTTCTTTTGAGTATTCTCCATTCGTACATCTCCCATAAAACACCTTGTTTACCTCCCAAAATTAAATAATGACATATTTAAGCCTTGAAATTTTTTTGTTGCACTGCGGTTTTGAAAAGATAACTTTAAAGAGCAAAGCGGCCTCTCAGGGACATTTTTTGTTGTGGCCACCCATACACGTACTCTTAGAAACCCTTTGATAACAGGCAACCATGAGCGATAGCATCTGCCGTCTCGTGTCAGATCACGTGCAACTTTGTCAAATACATACTTAGGTCAAAATCAGTCTTAAATTTTATGTCTCGTTGAAAACCCGTGTCGGGAAGAAGAAATTTTGCTTTACACGAAATGCATTGTGTTGAAAGACGGGGGTATCTTTCACCTCGCTCACGAAACCTCAGTAAAATAGCATATCCATTAAATTGCACAGAAAAAAATATTTATAATGAAAACTGACATACCGTCCTTTTTGGTCCTCATGATCGGTGCTTGGAAAGTAAACGTATTCCGTCTTTCTAATCTTGTCCTAGGAAGCTCCTCGACGAACGCAGGAAGGACCAGATTGGCTAGCATTTCATGCTTAGCTTTGGCTTGTATACTAAGGTGATGATCTGTGAAGGCGAAAAACATATACCAGTTGAAACCACGCGAGCGGGCAAATATATCGTGACCCTTAACATTGTGAGTGGCCTTTGTAAACATGCGCGCGCAGTTGCAAAGGTTATGTGCCGACAGACGTTCTCTTTAGCAGCGTCTCTGTTCCTACTGGTCACTACCAACCGCTCCGGAAAGGGAAGAATAATGAGATAATTAAATAGACGCCACAACAAACAAGATTACTGGAATGTTGAGTCACAATAGAATCCCCAATAACAGTAGGCTGAACGTGTGTTCTTCTTTGTGGTTGCGTGCGCGGTTTTATTGAAAACCTTTCAACTCTTAACTTCTTTCTCATTGCCCGCTCAGCTAAGTTATATAATCAACAAAAGCTCATTAATGCAGACAGCAAAGTTTACAGAGAGAGCCGGTAGAAAGAGGCAGGGATTGTATGAAGGGTCGGTATCATCGGGATCAAGAGAAGTTTCCTGTTCCGAACAACAACATAAAGAAACGTTTACGTAATGGAGGCGTACAAATCAAGAGAAGTTTCGACTTTAATTTTGTAAATCCCTCCAATAAGTAGTTTTCTGTTTTGTCAAAAACCTCAAAACACCAACCATATTCTCACCCCGTGGGATCAAGATAAAAAATAATGTTTTAGGAATAGTTGTACTTTTCTTTGTACGATTGGCCGCGATACTTAAGGAGAATCTTATCATGTTGCTATAAAAACAAGACAACACTTGCCGGAACACAAGTTTTAAATGCACAAGCAGCGAACAATGCCAGCGGCTTTTGACTTAAAATGTACATAAGCTTATTATTCACTTGTTAAATCACGTAATTCATATAAAAATATAGTGAAGAAAAGACATGAAACCGTCAAATTTCAATGGAAACGCCCTTCAAGTATTCAGGGAAATTCTACCCTTTCGTGAGTCCAACCGCGAAAATGTTTTTGTGGTTGCAAACTATCGTGAATTATTCTTGCTTTTCAATAAATAAAGCCTAGGTGATCCTATTTAAAACAGCAGGTTACTATAAATTCTAAATGCCCATAACATCCTTTAAGCTCGTAAGAAAAAATCGTCCGTGAAAGGAAAATTTTACCCAGAGCGAATATGGAACCTAAAAAATCCTTTCACTTTTGAGTCGGTGTAGATCAGGAAAAATGAGATAAAACTGAGCATTTGTAACTTTTGAGTATGTGAAGGAAATTCTGTTTTATGACCATTTATGAAACCCCTTTGCCAGTATTTCTCGTGGTACTCAGTGAAAGTTTTTAAAGTTCGGTATTTCACAAAATGAGATATGAGATTGTTCGTGAGACTTTCTTAGTCGTAAAGAGGCTTTAATACGGTGTTAAGGGCCAAGTGGGATTGTGATGTAAGACACAACAAGGATGAATAGCATTCCACAACACTTTAATTTTTTTGGCTGAAGATGGTATTTTCAACTTTTCTCATACTCTTCTTGCGGCCGTTAAAATTTAATTCGATTCTGATCGGAAGATGATAGCGTAAGGAAGCATAAACTTCCAAAGTACACCAGAATGTGCAATATTTTATTCATTTGTCATGAGGTAGGAGAATGGTGGACACGTGGCGCATTCATGCAGTTCAAAAGAGAAGTAATGCATTTATTTAAATATTTCTGTACAATATTTGAGCCACTGTTAATCACCCGTATAAAAGTACTCAATACAACCGGGCAGACCCCTGATTTCATTAGCACTTTGTCGCGCGTAAATCAGGTTAAAACAACCTCACTCAGGTGATTAATTGTTAGCATTTGATCAGAAAAGAAAAAGAATGTACTATGAAAAGAAAGTCACTTCGTGAATATAAACGAGACCAAATCCTAGTTGAGTTTACGCATCAGTTTTCCACATGGTAATATTGGTTGCAGCTTTCCAGAATAAATACTCAAGGCATACATCACAGTAGACGTAAATCTTGTGCCAGTGAACAAAATCTTGTGGGGTGACCATCATTCAAATAAAACCTCTTGAACAGCAGTATTTTCACATGCATGAAATTTGGATTTTTTCTTTTGACTTTTACTTTTAATAAGGGCACTTAAGAGTCAAAAGATCTTTAAATGCGACCGGATTCAGTCTAAGAAGTTGAGACGCGGTACTCCTTGTGTGAGATGTCCTCTTTGTTGTTCCTTTGTCTCCGACAAAAACCTAATTACACTCAGAAATTAAGAATTTGTGTTAACGAGGAGAAAGAAAAAGATCTCACCTGTGCCAGAAGGCCTTGAATTTTTCCTTCTTATTCCAACAGGGTACGCCATAGACTGTGAAGTTCTTCTTCTTGCAATGACCGTGAGTGCTGGCGCCTAGAAGATAATAACAATGACTTAAGTCACGATACTGATGAAGGTAATCGACGACAGGAAGTATAATTGCTTGTCACACCCTTCGTTTACATGCAACGGAAGCTTCTCCGAAAGGAAGTGTTTAGTTTAACTCTTACAGCCGCAGTACATCGCACACTTGACGGTTCGATTCACATATGAACTTAGTTGTCGGAAGATGATGAACTTAGCCTTGGAGGTAGATGGGTTCGACTCAGTCACATTTGTGGAACTCGGACTCCCCAAAACGGTCAAACTCAATATTCAACAAATTTACAAGTTTCTAGTTTGATAAACCCGAAACAACAACTAAAACTGCCCACGCCAAAGACGTAAAAGTTAGAACCACTTTTCAACTGCGTCATTTACTCCATCATTTTCTTGGAGTTAAAGGCCGTTTAAGAAGATTCAAGGGCTGAACAATTCAGCTTGAAAACACTATCAACACGTAAGCTTCGGTCTTGAGCACATGTTGCTTGATTTGAGTGTCAAGGTATTTAGCACGAAAGTACTAATTGCATGGGGACACTATTTTTTACTTCTGACAACATAGTGTTAGTTTGTTATAACTAATTTAAAATTGTCAGAAAGCAGACAGATCAATGACAGTTTCAGTTGCTCACTGAGTCGAATATAATCGTTTAGCCATTCAAAGTTAGGCATCCGCGGAGCATTCTGAAAACGTAATTAATGAACGTGTTACTGTTATGGTAAAGAATACTGCTACAGACTACTCCGCATGATTATTTAGAAGAACAATTTTAGCGAAGTTTAGTTCAAGAAATCATCAATAAGGTTGAGCTCATTTGCCAAAAGAGAGGATTATATTGAAATAATGAAAAATCTCACTGAACTATGACACTTTTCAACTGAATGATTGCATCAAATTTCTAGTTAATTAAATCGCCACAACATTAGGACTTAATATTACGGAAAGGTAATGGTATTTTCTTTTTGATGTCGTAAAAGAAAAAGAACAGTTTTTAGCAAGAGTGTCCTTTAGGTAAAGCTCTGCGTGACACCTTAGCTGAGGTGCCGTTTAGTCTACTTAAAAAATTGTGGTCTGCAATACTATTGTATTATCAAGGGGTTTAATACTTAAGTCTGGATTTTAATTTATTCTAGTGCAAGTGCGAACAAAAATGGACGGCAAATACAAATTACCAATTTTCGCAAACGTAATGTGGATAGAATAAATTCAATCAAATCGAATACACTAATGTTCTGTAATATTTGAAAGAAGTTGATTAAAGACCGTTAGCACGGAACACCTGCTATCATGCACAACTACACACTGAAAGAAATATGAAATACCGAAACAATTATCACGATGAAACACCAGACTTTAGAAATAACGGCATACCATGCAAACATCAATGAAAAAATCATTCTGAGGTCTTTCCAGCATATCCGTCAATAACTAACAAGGTCCACAAACCTTTTTATGGATGTTGCTTGATCGTTCAGTTTACAGTTGACTCATACAGCGGACTTCCGATATTTATAAGCTGTGGTTGTCCTTTGTAATTATTCATAAATCCTTATGTGACCGTCGGTGGTGCATTTCCGATGGGAGGTAAATACTACCCAGATTATAAGGTTGACAGGAAGAAAGTGCGTGGAATAGTTTCACGCAACCGATTCGTCTCGTCTCTAGCCGAACAGAAGAGTTTGCATATATTCTTGCAAACTCAATACATTCCTCATTTAATTGCAACACTATGTGGTATAAACAATCAGCATGACGTATTTTATAATCACGTGACCAAGTTGTCTAACAGCCACTCGAAATAGTGACTGGCAACCAGCTAAAAGAAGGAGTAAACATATCATCCTTCACTGATTTTTGGACGTGAGGGAGGTCAAGACGTATTTCGTAATATATTTTTTAACTGGTTTTTAATTCATGATATTTTTGTTCTGTCAAATGCTGTCGTCACAGTTAGAAATAGCTGCAACTAAATCCCCAAAGGTTGCTATCTGGATTGGTAACCTTTTTATCCTGCTAGCTCTATGACAAAAATCCTACAAAAAAGTCAATGAAGTTTTAATTTTGTTTTAATTAGTTCCAGTAACGAATGAGATCATAAAAGAGTTTTCCTTATACGTCAACTTTCATCAGTTTGTGCTTTGTACTGCCTAATTTACTGATAGTGGCTGCAGTGGACACCTCTTAAATATACTGCACACTAGAAATAATATAGATTATTAAATTTAACACTGCTCCAACCTATAACTAAAACATAACTAGTAATTACATACATGAATAAAATGGTTACAGTGTATCCAAAAAAATTTCGTTTTCTTTCCTTGTTAATACCTTGATATGAAATGGCCCCATTTCTCTCTATTCACACACAAAAAGAATGCTGCTTAACATTTTTTTATTGCTGAATTTTAGACATATTTGGCCCAGTTATAAAAAACGTACATATGATTGGCGGTATTGGACTAAACATGTACAAATGTGTGTGTTTACGTCAAACTGTGTAAAAGGGTATATACTTTAAAACTACTCGTAGCATTAAGTGTTCTTAAAAAAACCACAGATCGAGAATTGAAATTGTCTCTACATAAACTATGGAGTAGGCTTTATTTTAATCTTTCTTAAACTGCAGTGAGAAAATGGAAATTTGAAAGAAAAATCAATCACAAACAAACCTATGAAAGACTTGCTTATACAAAGCCTAAAAATGCATCTTTTACAAATAGAAACGTAAGTGTGTGGATGAAACACGGCCGGTCGTTTTATAGTTAATATTGGAGTACAACTGTATAATAAATTGTACTTTTAGACCTTTGTGTTAAACCCCCAATACAAATCACAGACGAAAGCTTTTATCAACTAGACAAAAGCTTCGCCGATGGCGAAATGATTGAAAGAAAATTCTTGAAAACTAAGCGAAGAAAATTAACAACATGTACTAAGCATACTTAGGGGTAAATCTGTTGCATAGATATAATCGTAGTGATGGTTTATGATTACGGTTACCTTATAATATCTCTCGATAAAATCAGTCCAATGCTTAATTAGTCTCTTCAGGTTGCGTAAGTAATTAACATTATAATACTCAATTTTGGAATTCAAAATTCCTTTAAAAAAGGACGAAGTCAGGACGTGTTGGGTTATTTTCAATTAATCAGACCAATAACAGTACTTTTTGAACTACTTCAAGTCAAACAGGTTAATTATGGACACAAGAAATAAGCTTAACATTTTGAGACTTCGGTAGTATGTGACCGTACCGGTATAAACCATTTCGGCCGTGTGTTTTTTCAGGGCCTTTCAATATTCAACAACAAAACAAAATTCGCGATTTTTTTACACACCGTTTTCTATGCTCAATTGTTGAGGCCACGATGAAATTTTAAAAGGCAGTTTTCTACAGAAATAAACTTCTTAAATAAAACTCCACTAAAAAAGTGATAAAAGAAGAAAAACTAGCAGAAATCTAGTCACATCTTTTCATTTGCTTTCAAGCAGCTCAGTTAACGCGGCATCCTTTTTCTCGACTCGCCGGCCGACTAAAACAGTACGAATACCCCAGTTACGCGCATCGCTTTGAGACAAAACTAAGCGGAAATCATCGTTTTACATGAGGTAGAATGCTATCCGGTTCGGTTTGCCGACACAAGACTTAAGAGGTGAAGCGTTACCAACCATTCCCTTTCAATTTACCGAACAACAACAAGAAAACTTCAAAATGAACAAAATCCTGGGTACTGCATGCTTTTTCTCGTACATGGCAGAAGTTTTCGGGGTCAGCCGAAGCTACGAGCTGCATAATTACGATTTTCGCCGGATTTTTAAGTAGATCAGAGTTGACCGAAATCGAAAGCTGCATGCAGATGAAAAGTCTCAGTTACCCAAGTGAATGTACCTCAGAGAATGTGATTCTCTGAAATCTCTGAATAACTGAATGTGAAATATGAAATGTGAATTACAAGAGTACGTGAAGCAAGTAGGTTGCTAAGGGCCTGTTTACATGGAAGTGGGGGACCCCAGGTAGGTGACGTAACCCGCTTAGGTGGGGTAAAAAAATAACCCTCCTTTACATGTAATCTTACAACCCCGCCACGCCGGAGTGCCCATTTTCAAGATTATTGAGTGGTCGCTAAGCACGTAAACAAGAAAAATGCTGCAAACCTCATGTTTTGGCGATTAATGCTCTTCTACACTCACTTGCTGCTCTTGCTGCAACCTTCAGTACTGTGGCTTTCTATTGCTACCTTTAATAATGATGCAAAGCCACCTCTAAAGAACAAAATTTGATTTATTCCGAATCCGACCCCGACAAGGCGGGTTACCCCGCCTTGAAACGTTTACATGGCAAAATTTGACCCCGGCTGAGAGGGTTACCCGGTCTGGCAGACCGGGCTACCCGCCTAGGCGGATCACCCCACCTATCACGTAAACGTGATCCACGTAAAATGAGAGATTATATGGACAGGCGGGTTACCTCACCTACCTGGGGTCCCCCAGCTCCATGTAAACAGGCCGTAAGAATACGCGCTTGTTATTGCACCCTTGTTTTACTTCGTAAACTATTTTAGGCGCGCGAGCATTGTCTGCGCGGTTTCTTTGAAGATTATAGGTCTCAATTTAATAATGCCAAAAAAAAAGCGTATTTCTTCTGGTGATCCCTTTACATCGACGAGTTATTCCAGAACACTTAACGCGGGGCTCCTGCGCTAATACTTTCTATATGAAGCATTTTAGGGCATTATTTGGGATGAGAAACTCTTCGTGAACTGGTGTAAGTGACTGACAAGTGGGTGCCAACTAGGACACTTTCACACTTCCTTTGTATGTACCAATACTTTTCTGTGTTGCATAGCAGTCAGTGTTATTGTTTGGCATGTGGAGTATTGTTCATTAGGACTGAATGCGAACTATATTGCGAAAGAAGTAGTCGAAGGCAAATATGACGGTTAAACTAAGGCTATTAATGCAGAGAAACAAATCAAGGAAGCTCCGTGCATGCCTCAGAACGTAATTCCATAAAATTCCAGTTATTTAAGTCTCAAGGATGGCTGATTATAAGAAAGAAATGAGGCGAAGTGGAAAGCAATTCTTGTTTGAGATATTCTGAGATTTTGACTTTATAAAACGATCTTCATTTCACGATCTTATTAAGTAAGTTTGTCGTGAGAAGGCAATATAACTTTTAGGCAAAAGTCGGGTGATTACTCAGCGAAGCTGAATTCGCTTCTAGCCCAGCTCAAGTACTTTGAGAGAACTGCGACAAGTGCTAAATCGGAAAATAGTATGACCGATTTAGGGGTACTAATCTGCGATTTAGCACTACGCAGACCGCCTTCAATTTCACTATTCAGCTATTATACGTAAACTTGTAAATAAATAAAGACTTATTAAGTCTCCGATTATACGATTCTACGTTAAGTTTTTATACTCCACTGTTCTACGACTGTAGTGTGTAATTGTACGATTCTATCCAAACGTCTCTGATTGTATAATTTTCCGATCATGACGTTACACCAGTGTTAAACATATCTTAAGTGCCCCTTGAAATGTGTAATATCAAGCCTGGTTTACACTAGCGACGGAGGGCAAGTATAACAGGAGAAAAATACTTATCTTAACGTGAATATGTGTAACACAAGGATCAAATTGACTCTTTCTTAATTTTGTTTGTATCTACGCTTGTGCTATTTTGCTACGCTTAACTAAAATCAGCGTTGATTTTCAGTTTTTACAACATTCTTCTTCTTATCCGTGCTAGTGAAAAACAGTCTTAACTCATCAGCAAGCCCTCGAGAGATCTATAAACTGATCATGGTAAGAATGGTAGACAAATAAAAGAAACACGAAGAGATCCCTTACTTCTGAATAGTCCACAACTGGCTGCTTTAACATGATAGCTTCTAGGATCCATTCATTAGGAGTTGCGTAGGAAAAATGGTGTACAAACGAGATGTTTATTGGGGAGCCCATGGTCCAAGGACCCGAATCTTCAGAAAACCTTTTAATTAATTGACTCATCAAAATTTGAATTGAGCTCCAAAGAAAATGTTTATTTGATCCCTTAGGATAAAAACCAAGACAACACCTTCCCAGGAGAGTACATAATTAAGTCGGTTAAATCAAGTATTATATGGCCTCGTCTACACGAATCCATATATTTTCGAAACCGCATATTTTTACACGAATCGAGCTTCCGCGCGTCCACACGAAACCAGCGAACTCGGTTACCAAAGCCCCATCGCCATAGCGTTTTTTTTTTAATTTGACAGATTTGCGAATTCGTGTCGAATATTAACCAAATATTTTCGACTTTCAGTCTTCACCGGATTCTTGGGGTCTGGGCCTAAGGTGCGCTCAACCAAAACGTTGATTATTTTTACACAAAGAAGTTAATCTGCAAAGAGTGGGATTGAATATTATGATTGTTCTCTTCTCACTTAACCCGATACACGAAATGGGTGTCAATGCGAATACAGTGTGTTATGTAATAGAAAATATAGCATTCACGTGTTGCCGAAATGCAGTAAGAAATGCTGGCAGATATGATTAAACGACAAAGCCTATAAACTAAACAGGTTTAAAGAAAAGCAGTCAAAGAAACAGCGTCAAACCGCGCGAAGCGTCGGCGTAGGATTCTCGCCTGAAGCGCGCGGCGAGCCTCGTACTAATTACGAAGTTAGAAGATTATATTTTATTTGACCTTTTTTTGGGTTTATAATCTAACGAAAATGAAGCAAGGAAATCCTGATAACTGCTTGCCTTCTCTCGTCGAAAAAAAAACAACACGTGATAAGTCACGTGATAACTCAAGCAACAAGCCCTGAATGCTTTGCGAACGATCAAACAAATTTCTCCAGTTAACTGTAATATAGGCTAGGGTTTTCGACTCCTTGCATGAGTTAAGAAAATAATCGAAGTGATTTTAGCTACAGTAGAAGCTGAATTCCGCTTGCCGGGAAAGGTTTCCTAAGCAGAAAGTTCAAAAGGGGTTTTACCATAGAGTCCGACTATTTCACTATTAATGAACTTTTATAAGGTTGACGATGGTGCCAGTTAGAAAAAAAATTCATAATACTTGAATTGCATGTTTTTCTTACCTCACTACCTCTTCTGCTTATGCGCCGTGGAGCAGCTACACTTGCCCTTCTTTGGTTTACTTGCACGCCCACCACGGATTCCCGTCGGCCATGGCGATACGCGGGACAGGAGATTTTCCGCCTTGGTTCGTCACGTTTAACTGTCTAAATAACATACTAACGATTAGTTAGAATAAAATTGGCCACCACCAGGAGCCTGAGGCTCCTGTTTCATATGGTATCTAGAAGTGACGTTGTCACCGGCACCAAAGTTATATCCAAGTTGGATTCTTATCTTATATTCTTATTTGCAGTGATCGTAACGACCACGCCTCGTTTTTACGACCCACTTTGCAATTTTAACAATTTCTCCTACAACTAACTGCTAATGTTTGAACACTATTACGGTTGACAGACATGTGAAGGAAAAAAATTGTTTTTAAAAAAGCTCAACATTTTTCATCTGTCTGTGGGCGTCTAACGACCTTTCTGGGATGGATCAATTAAAAAAGGCTGAAATGGAAACATCAGTCATGATACAAGACACGTACGAAATCTTAACAAGCTACATCAAAAATGAAAAAAAAATTGCCGGAAAATTGTTTTGCGGAAACCGTTTTTTTTTACGACTATGATTTTTTACCCCTAACGGCTAATGTTTTGACTGTTTCCGACTGACGGTTAACCGATTAAGAGTTATCCGAGATCCTCCTTACGGCACACTAGGGCGAAACAGTGCAGGGTGTTGAGACAATCCGACATTTGTATTGATCATCAAAATACCATCACTCAGTGAATAGTGCAGATATGGTAAAGCAATCCTTTCGGATAATAATGACCTTACGTTCAGTCTGAGATGAGAGGGCTGATAAGCAACGTAAGTATCCCGAATATGAGAAATTGACTCTACATATGTTGACTAGTCTAACCCGTATTTTCGTGGTCAAGGAAGCGCATAATCGATAACAAAGGCTTAGCTACTTTTCAGTTAGTTTTCGCTGGTGGGGCATCAAATCAGAAGTCCGTATCTTCCACTGCTTAACAGAGTAATCAACATCTTCATTATCGTACAAACAATGACTGCATGGAAATAAGGGCATCGATCGTTTCCTTTTTTAAACCAAGTGTTGGGTTCTACCGATATTGTTTCAGATTATTTAGCCTTTTATCCGAAAACGAAATTGTACCTTTGAAAGCTGCTTCGTCTGCTTGATTCTGTTAATCCCTGAGCTAACCTTACGCTAAATATACTTCAAGGTAATCGATCGTATATATAGTCACGTTTCTGATAAACTTCCTAGGTAGTTTTCATCTCAACGTTTTAATATGCACGCCTTTCTCACGGACCGCTTTCAATTTCTTTAAAGTAGAGATAATTAGCGTACTTGGCTAAGATCGCACTCTAATTATTTTACTGCAAAAAATGGAATCTCTTGCCCATTTGCCTAAAAACCGAATAAATTAGGACTAAATGGGATATGTATAAGCCAATTAAAAGTTCTTTTGTGAGAATACAAGACGGAACACTCTCCGCTCCTCGTAGATAACATGATGGCCACAAACGAGAAGTTTCTTAAAAGCTGAGAAAAGCCATTTATCCCGGAAGTCGAAACTGAGCAACAATTGGTTGTTATTAACAGGAAAACAGTGTGCTATAATGGAATTGTAAATTGGTAAACAGTTTCTAAAGATGCTTTGTAATCATACTCTCGAAGAATGCAGCTAAATATTGTCTTTCACTCAGTTTCATCATACTTAAGAAGGATGAAAGGCTCCGAACGTCATTGTAACGAGGTAGATGACGAGATGTTGTGTTGTAAGGTTTCCGAGGCAGCTTTATCCAGCAAAACGCTGTAGACCTTTCTTTACTAACTATAAAGTTAATTTTGATGAAGTTGATTGAAGAGTGCTTGTTGAAGACAGAATTGTCACATTTTTGGCTTATTAAGACAAAAGCTATCTACAAACTATTGGAAGGATAAATATTAAAATCACTTCTCAATACCTGATATTTAGGAGGATCAGATACGGCTCTTGATACACGGGGAAGGCTTTGTCGCTTTCGATACATGCTGGTTTTGAGTGCTTGGTGATCCACTCAGAATCGAAGCCAATTAGAAAGTAATTCAAAGGTTGCTTAATTCAATTGAAAATCGCTCGTTCAAACAATTACAGAGTCTTAGCGTCTTCATTAACGATCATCTTGCAATCACGTCATATAGGTATCACTTTGGTCTCAGAAGACAAAAGTACACTTAAATATTTCACCATGCAGCACAGTCGACGAAATGGCCTTGCCACTACAGCGTAGTATCCATGTCTACTTATATAAATTCCGCTTAAGGGCAGCGACGGCATTCGCTAATTTTGCGTCTTATGTGTCAAAAGATAAGGCCACTTAACAGCAAACAATTTGATTGGTTCTTTTGACAGGTACTGAAGTGCGTCCAGTTGACTTAAGATCACGTACAGTTTATTTAGCAATCGTTGAGAACTTCGTACATTTCTTCAAAAAACAGGAAACATAATGAATAACCTAATGAATGCCGCTTCGCTTATGAACGCCTCGCTAAATCTTATGTTTCATTGTTATCAAGGTATGCCAGCTTTCAGCAGCGGTTGTTTTAGGAGCAGGGTCAAAAATCACTTCTAAGAACGAGGACATCTCTCTCTTCTGGTTATTGCTAACGAAGGATGACACATCTATGCCCTCGAGAGCATAAGTGGCAAAAGGAAGTTGTATTTAGACAAAGTACCCCAAACTGTCAGGCGCACCCAACGTCAATTTCCGGAAAATATCTGTTCGGAAGACGATTTGAGATCTAGAATTTTCGGAACATTTGTTGTAAAATGTTTTGCTTGCCTGCCTCTCCTAGGATTTTCAAACATTTAAAAAAAGTATCATTGCCCATTTTTAACGGATTTTTACACTAAAAAGGTCACCTTGGCTTTTCGGAAGCCTTTTTTCTGGCTGAAATTTTCGAAAAGGTAAGTTTTGATCCCTATAATTTTCGGATCACTAGACGTTCAGCCAGGAAATCCGAACAGATGAAAAATTTTTAGGGGATAAAAATACGCATATATCTACCGTTTAAATACTAAAATACGTTTAACAATGCTATGTTTAAGTGATTTGAACTATATTCTCGTTGGGTGCCCCTGAACTGTTTTTAAGATCCGTGATCGTATTACGCATCGGTTTTTGAACAAAAAAATATTGTAATCAATATATTACAAGAAACATTCCTCAGGATTTGGCTGCATTCCTTACTGATAAACGTTTAATAATGATGTTTGTTTTTCAGTGAAAAAGATAACCATGAGTAACAGACTTTAAAATTAGTTATTTTGCTGTTCTCAGCTCAGTTTTGCTCTTCAATACCTTTTTCAATTTTCCCTCCTTTGATCAATCCAACATTTTTCTTCTACGCCTGTTTTTAACGACTTATCTCTCGTTTGCCACACTTTATCATGAATTGAAGAAAGCATTTCTTACCGAAATAACAAAAATTTCGCCTGGTCGGGTCTTTGTTGTATATGAACTCAGATGATCTTTTAAGTGACAGGTATATACCTTAAGCGCAAACACCGTTTTGGTCCGTTAATCTCAAGGAATTTGTACTTCAACCCTGTCTTACAAATTTGTTCTATTTTAAGTTAGTCCTATGGTGTTTTAGATAAAGAAGCAACCAGTTGTAGAAGGTATAGAAAAAACTAAAACTAAAAATAAAAAAATACTAAGATGGCCGATTTTGGGAAACTTCGCCTTTCTGTTTAAACAAGAAAAATAAGATATATATTAAGTAAATAATAAGCAAATTACAATCCCAATTAACAGTTGTAGGAAGATTTGTCCCTCAACACAATACCAAAAACTGATGTTACGTACCTAAAACAGTCACAGAAAGGATATAGCTACCAGATTTTCTACTTTGAATTAGCTTGTTACAGAATTTACACGACCAGTTCTGGCCCTCTCTTCTTGTCATCTTTTTGTCATCCAATCCAGAAAGGGAATCTAGGCAGGGACAATTGTCAATGCAGTGGTGCGTTATCAAAAGCAAACCTGCCCATCCCCTTCCCAGGGTGTACAGGTGTAGCCGTAATTAATTTGGACTTTCAACATTGCGGTTTGGGGTTAAAGGAGGGGGACTGCAAGGCAGCTGGAGGTCTACTGTCAGGTGTACTCTGATTGGTTTATCTTTGGCATCCGCAGGCAATTGTCCCTGGCCCGCTCCACGTTTGGCGTGACTCTGGCGTGACAGAGAGAGAAGGCCTCAGCTCACGCCATGTAAGGGAATTCGGATTCCGCAATGCGTGAAATGTTGGCCTGTGGAATCTGAAATCCTGGGCTTTGGAATCCGGAATACGGCTCAAGGAATCCGGAATCCCACGAACGATTTGAATCGAAGAATCCAAGTTCCACTGACAACGGCTGGAATCCAGTGCGTGGAATCCGAAATCCACGGCGTGGAATCCAGAATCCAAGACAGTCTTGGATTTCCTCATGAGGTGACTCAGGGATACGTTTCGAAAAGTTTCAAATCTGTTATCATTCAGTTAAAATCATAGAGACTGCCAGGAATACTTAGCTACTAAAGAGAAAATTTATTTCAAATCACTTCTACTGAGGCGTCTAGAAGGCTCTTGACCAAAGACACGTTCAAATCAGTGGAATAAACCCTTTCGTGTTCAGTGCCAGTGTCAAATGGAAAGCCTATCAATGAGCCTATCAGTGTGTTCTCCAGACTGTGAAAAAGATTGCTATTTGTAACATTATATAAAATGATTGTGATGTATAAAGTTAAACTGGGGCCAACTGCACCTGATTGGGAGGTATCATTTTGCTTATGAAAGCCGACTATTAATAGTGATTGCTTATCTGTTTAACTCCCCAGAACCGCCGTTTTATCAAAAACATAATTGCCAGTCGGTAATTAATTTGAATTGTTAATGTCGTTTTGCTGATAAGTTGGTTGATCGTCCTTATTTCGCCAATTTATTCGTGATAATTTCCATCTGTTTTGCGTCATTTCCTTTTACAATGGAAGACATTTAATCCCATCACTACACCGACAGAGACAACAATCACGAAAACATAGCGACCATCGTTGAGCTTCGTGCCTTGTTTTGTTTGTCAATTTGCATCAAAGGATAATAAATGGATTTCATCGACTCTTTTCAATATCGAATAAGCTATAAGAGCTTTTAAGTAAACAAGACACAGTACTTCTAATTTCCAGGCCATTATCGCCTTCCTTTATCTCGATGTAAGATAGCAGTTGAGATTCGATATCCTAAATGGTACATCCTGCACCGATACGCCAGGGCGTCATGCAGTTCTTACAAGAGAAGACTATTCATTTTTCTTTCAGCTCTAGAGTTAAATCGTTGTCCGAACACAAGAGCCGTAGCGTGATACCATAGCAATGGAAGTCACCGATCATCGCTTTCCTGGAGTGCTATTTGTTTTGCAATTTGTATCATGTGGCGTTGAGAGAATAACATGACTTTCATAGGTCCATTTGTAGTTTTCAAGTAGGCTGTAATTGACTTTTGTTTAACTCAAGAGACTAATCTTTACTTAAAAAGCGCGGAATGGTAACTCTTCGAGACGTACGTAACAACACAGATTACCATCTCTGAATGTGATGAACAAAGCGGCCTGACGACACTGAACATAAACCATCCGCGTTTTATGTAATAATTCTCGGTTGCTATTTAAAGTCCTGGCCTTAAAACCATAGCGAAAATAGTTAAAATAAGGGAAATGCTTTATCAGTAATCGCTTTTTCACTTACTATGGCGGTCAAGTGGCAAGAAGTGTCATCCTTGATCTCGCTATCAGTGCTAGATTCACGAGCTCCCTCCTCCATGCCAGCTGATTCTTTCCGATTCTCGTTTAAGGAATGACTGTCACAATGCGAGCACGGCGGCGAAATCTGTATTTGAAAGTCAAAGATGACGTTAATTGAACAATCAATCGTAAACGGTCAGAGAACTGTGTTACAAAGAATGGAGACGGAGAAGCGAAAATCAGGTTAATCAAAGAACAATTGCCACCTCATCAGCTTCATCGTCATACAAAAAATAAAGTACAACATTCGCCACTCCATTCGCCAACTTGTCGCACAGGTGACCAAGCAATTCAGTCATTTGAGCGATGAAAACTCCATGTCCACACACGACTGGCCTGGCACGGCTGATTGGTTTAGCTTATTAATATTGATACCCAGATGATGAAAGGAAAAGTCAGCACCACAGTGATTTATATAGATGGTCTGTGTGTCTCGGGAGGGTGCCTTAACCTGCGATCAGGCGTATTTTTTTCTATCGGGGAAAGCGCTCCGAATCAAAAGGAAAAAAGGATCGCCTGATCGCAGGTTAGTGCCGCCTCAAAGGGCAAGGCTTTTGCACTGTTTCGATCAGAAAACGGGTGTAGACTTTGCCCATGCATTTTGGATTGGAATAACGGGTATGGTTTTCGAGAGAACTAGTGCATTCCAGATGAAAAAGAGAAAAAAATAATATGCGAATTCGAAATGGAGTTTAAGAAATCTTATTGTTGACTTTCTTATCCAAGTAATGATGGCGGTATGGATTTTAGAGGACAGGTCTAAAAACGGGTATGAATTTTAGAGGCTAGGTCTGAAAACTGGTGTGGAAAATGCCATTCTTATGTCTGAAATAGCGTCAGGATTTGAAGAACCGGGCGGCACATCCCCACCAAGAATTCCCTGGAGTATCCCCCGGGCTATTTACCAAGTTCAAGTGTGACTCAAAAATTCAAGCAGATGGTTTCTTTCAGGCGTGGTATGGGGAGTAAACAAGCTAAGTATGTGAATGACAGCGACGCGAACGACGCCTCAATGCTAAAAGACATGCCAGGGCAATCGTCTTCTATGTTAGAATGCCTCTAGCCTTCGTCACACGTTCCTCACAAGGCACGCATGACAAAGTCAATGGGAGGTTCCAATCCTGGACTGTTATCAATTACCGTGAAACGCAACGGAGGGGAGCATATGTTCGCATGTTTGGTGTATTGTGAACCCTAGTGTCTCTCGCAGCCGTTTATGCCCCGTCACACAACCGCGTAGCCTGTGTACAGACGTCCCCCTCCCTCAGAAAAAAATCTCCCCATTTTTTCTGAGGGAGGGGGACGTCTGTACACAGGCTAACAACCGCGCTCCTCTCCAAAAAGGAGGAGCGTTGAGTGACGAGACAAAAACGGCTGCGAGGCAGACTAGGTCTTCCCTGACTCGACCCCAATCGTCCATATTTGGATCGCACACGTGACCGAAGGGAGCGCGGGGAGTGATGGGAAGGATGAAAACGAAAGGGGGGAGACGACGGTTTGATCCTGACTCGAAAAGTTGCGCTAGGTCATTTTTCTTATTTTCTTTTTACGGAAAACTGTGTCAGTCATGGATAACTGATCTATTACTGAACAGACGCACGGAAACAAAGAATCAATTTCTTGATGGACTAAAACCAGGAAACTAAACTACCTTTAACGCGCGGTCGTCCTGCTAGAAAAACTTAAGACTTTAAATAGTTAACTGATTCAGGAAAATAAAATTCCTAGCCTGCGTGGCAGTCGTTTTCGTTTCCTCTAGGCCAAGCGAGACAAGAGCAAAAGACGCGCTGGGCAAATTTCCTCACGCGTCTCGTTTCTCCCGCTTGGCCTAAAGAGGAACGGAAACTACTGTTACGCAGGATATAAAATTCCTGACGCGGTTCAGAGACCCCGAAGCTACAAAAGATCAAGTGTGACCCAACTCATTACTTCACCTTAACTCCTTGCTTTTCAAACAGCGTTACATGTTAATATAAGTATAATAATACGATGAACAAAAGTATTAAACTTTAATATTAGAACTAATATTGGACCCCCACTGCGATGAAAAGGCCGCACATGAACCTTTGTCAGTCAGGACAAAAATACAAAGGAATCGGCATCGGCCGATGGCTTAATCTGCTTAAAAGTCTCAAATCTCTACTGCTTTGTTTTCTGACTTCTTGTAAATTGCTTTCACACATGTTCTCATTTGCCCATGACTGTGTTTTCGTAACTCAGCCAATTAGAGCCTGATAATGCGCTGGTGCTAATTACATTATTGATACGAATGAAGACTTAATCGTTTCAGAAAAATTAAAGAGAAATTTCAATTTGGAAGGAGAGGAACTTAATTTTGTTGTTCAAGACAAACGGAGATAAGAAAAATTAAAGTCCTCAAGTTACATTTTTATTGAAACGTGCGAAACCTGGAACGAAAACCCTCTTTATAAACTGTGCAACAGCTAGTTGTTTCCTGTTTTTAATCACTTTCTTTGACTGTTAAGAAAAAGGGAATTTCTTAAGACGGGAACTTTAAGTCAATGAGACTTAATCTAAATTAGGTCGCTTTTTGTAAACTGGGCAAGTACAAACATCCCTGACAGTTTTCTTACCTTTTTTGTTAGTAAATCCCTAAAGATACAGATTAGTGGATTTAGCAGCTTGGAGACAAACAACAATAAGTGCCCACTAACAAGTTAGTGAACACCACATAACGGAGAAAAATTAACATTAATTGCATTTCCACTCTTCACTCTGATCTTGATGTTACGAGAACTGAGATCTGGATTTTTTTAAGGATGTTTCACCCCAACAATCACACTTGATGTATATATATGACCCTCAGGTTTAAAATCAGATATTCTCAAAAAGAGTCATCGTAACCATAGCGTATGTGATGCCAGTACAAGCTGGTGGCACTTGACAGAGATCAGTACACAAGTTGTATTACTCTGTACACTTCAAACAATACGCTGCCATCAAGTAATTGTACCAGAAGGATCTTTTTGAGAACTTAATTCTTCCTCAGCCGCCATTACGTCTCCAGGACATTTGTTGTACACAAGTTTGTTTTTAAACCTAAGCCATTTCAACTATAGTTTGACACCAGTAAAAGACAATGGATTTACAACCTATTTACGCGTTTGTGTTTAACTGCACTGACACTAAAGGCGCCTTCGATTGATAGCATTCCAGGAATAAAAGTTTAGCTAGAAATCTCATGTACCGTGATTTTGGGCCACTTAACGCTACATATATCGGAATATTTTATTTCAACCAGATTTTTGCATATTACAATGCAATGAATGTCAAAACAAGTGATTTCTAGAGTTTGTTCAATTTTTGTTCTTATTCCAAAATATGCTCAATCGAACATGCCCCAAGTCTCTTTCTTTTCACTCGCGAGAGGAGCTGCTCTTTAATCAAAACTTGACGCATTGATGATAAAAGGATTTAAGGTTTTACCTGGTCGACTAAACCTTCATTTGACTCTGATCTTTCGTCGAAACACCTGCAACCTCCGTTTTCAGGGCGATAAGGTTCGACGCATCCATTCTTTCGTCTCGGCAAAACTCGCTTTTTATCATTTTGTTGTGCAACTAAATTGGCTCTTCTGCGAAACACCTCCAACAAGTCCGTAGGGTCGGTATGGGACCGTTTCAGTCGTCCTGTTTTGGGAGGCGGTTTTTCTACAGGTTCTTTAGGCATCTCGGTAAGGGACTCCAAGTTTGGCACAATGGTCGGCTGATCGGCTTGTGACCTGAATTTTGGAAAAAATAAAACCACGTGCGGATTGAAGTATTTATAGATTAAAAACAAGCTATTCCAAGCTATTCAAGATAATCATTATTACAGCCTTAAGCTCTAATGAAGTGACCCTAACTTGATAAGTTGCTTAGATCCGAATTTATTGACCCTACAGCTGTTGGGCCATTACTTACTCTTGACGACATTTCCTACCATACAAAACGTTTGACATTCAAGAATTGAAGAAGCGCGAAATAATAATTATCCCACAGTCCAGCCTCATTTACTGGCATCTTATGGCCCGAACTCGCCGAATAATTAATGTTCATGAGCTCCAGGGTTTTGTCTGGACCCAATCCAGTCCTTTACGTGCATTTACGTCACAGACCTTCCCTTGAAAAGACTATTCGCAAAGTATTGTTTGTCAGAATGTTGGTATTATCGTTGTCGATAATGCTTGGTAAAATGATAAAGCGAACAAGCAAATTTGATATACAAATAACGTGTTGGTGATTGTCAAGGTTGCGTCATTATTAGGATTCGAAAATTTTGTCACGTCGCCATGTACAAATTACGAAAAGGGTTAAACAGCAGCGCATGGTACATTTGATAAATTGCACATTTTCATGTCAGTTCGATTTACAACACGACTTTTTAATAGAATAAAACCCAGTAGTATATCGTCTGATTCGACAAACATGATTCTTAAGATACAGAATGAAAACTACAGAGCTGTGGTGCTGTAGCAGTATTTTTTTAGTGTCAGAAAATAAGATTGAAACCGACAAAATGGCGCCTTAGAAAGCAGCTCCTATGTTTTGCCTGAAAACCCAAACGTCTCCTATCATCTGCTTTTTTTGCGGATCTCAATAGGCTATCATGCAACGTGAACAATACAGTGGAGCCCTTTTCCTACGACCAACATGTTGAATACGACGAAATCTTCAGAAAAGGAATTTAGTAAACTGAATGGCTTTACGTTTGGGCCAAAATAATGAGCCTGGTTGTATACAGCTATTTCGAGAAAGGTTGTCAGAAAAAATTTGGACGCGACAACCCCGAAAGGTAATATGGGATATGATCAATACACTGTTCCCTAACGCTGTAGCTGTCGAGCCTAGTTTTGTTGCTTTCCTTAAGCACTCGCAAACATACGTCCATGGCCTCTCATGCCATTCTTTCAAATTTCCTTTGAAGAAAAGTGAACTCAAAACCACCCACAATACCTTTCGGGATTGTTGCGTGCACTTTTTCCCACAACCTTTCTCAAAATGGCTGTAAACGAGATGGTTGTAAGGCAGGTACCACTGTACATCATTTTCGCCACGGAGTAGAACCAGTCCCCCTTCGTTCTCCTCACCCTCGAGTTGGGCGGACAAATTCCTCGCTGAAAGGTTGTAATATCCTTGAGATCTGGTATCCAGGAAAAGTGTAAAGAATACTCAGTTTTTAACCGAGGCGCAAGTCGTCTCAACTGCCGTTGAGGTAATTAACTACATTAATTTATATTTGGTTAGGAGACAAAAACAAAAGAAAAACTGAGGGCCAGTCAGCTTGACAATCAATCTGCAGAGATTTCACATAACTGGGTACAAAACATTCTCAGTAAAAGTGTTTCTCCATTCAAACGTCTACCCGGAAATTAACTGGCCTCATGCTTGCATATGTGAAAAAGTTATTGAGCACAAAACTGGGAAATTTGCTTTTTTAAATCACCGCTGTTGCTAGGTTTGTCCAATAGCGTGATATGTTGTCATGTACGTTAACCAGCTTCCACTAACTGTATCACATCATGTCTAAAGGGGTCGCTTACGTTCGAAATCCTGAGTGCATATTAAAAAGCGAGACGGAGTTTGTCTGTACACAGTCAAGAGTAAATGAAGCCGACAAAGGCTCTTCCGGAGCAAGGATTTAAGTATTTCAGCAAACAAGTCACTTGTAGAGAACAGAGCTTTCATGACATGTGAATGGAAGGTTATAAAGCCTAACAGGAAACCGCCATTTTCATTCATTAATTTACATTGCATTTAATATCAGTTAATCTTGCCTCAGGGCCCCCGAAATACACGACTTTAACAAATGTTCTCTAGTTTTCGGTATATAAAATAACCAGTGGCTTTCCACATAGATTCACAAACGCGCTGTTAGATGAGAGTAGCTATATTTAAAAATAACAGCTTAAAGGGTATAATTTCTGCGCAAAACATGCCTTTCAAAGGAGCTAACTATTAAGTACAACTTTAAATCAAACACCGCTTGTACTTAAATCAGTTCGGTTAATGAGGAAACGTTGATGGGGGTAAAAAAAATACTATGGTCACAGAGGGTTGAGGTATTGTAAGTTCCGCAAACAAATGTCTATTATCCAGTAAATTGAATATGCAAAAAGATTTGCTTTTGATGGCGTAAATGTCATTAGTCTTCACTACTACGTAAATACTAATAGTAGGAATACATAAACGAGGCGCAACATAAGCTCACGTTGCTTATAACCTATGAGTTCCCATGTTAATAGTAATGAAAACGGCTGACACACAATGACGGATTTTAGTGTTAGTCGCCTTTGGATTTTGTCATGAATGAGGGTGACAAAAACTTTGGAAAACTAAAGGTTTACAAGAAGTGTTAGTTGAATCTTAGCCAAGTAGGGAGGCAATTAAAACACTTCAAAACTGTTTGAGGATGATTTTGTCACGATGATAGAAAAAGATTAAGAAGCTTGTATCATTCAAACTGTGAACCATAAACAAAGTTGGTTAGAGATCAAACAAATTCTCTGAGTCAACGGAATTCAGATTACGGACGTACAAACGGTCTAAGATGTAAAGCCTTAAAATCTGTTATCTAACACAAAGACTTGTCACTGCACCATCATATTTTAACGGGTCTAAGTTAACTAAGTTTTAATAATATTTGATAAATTGAAGTTTCCTAAAGGTTTGGTAATATCAATCCAGAACATTATAACAATAATTAAAATTATAATCTATAGCTCTCTAACTTACGTATCACATTTTGGATATCTTAACAAATAAGTCACGACTCAGAGCATGCATTCCTTTAGATCGTAATACCTTCCTCTGTTTAGTATTAACACATATCCTTATTTTGTTCTTCTTAGTACTGGCAACAAATTCTCTGTTAATGCCAAGTATGGTCATGACGTAAGTGGCAAGTTTTGACAAAGCAAAATTAGCAGAAACTAAAATTCACCAGACCTCCTAGAAACTTTCGCGGATTCAAATCATGAACCTTCCTCGACTACCCCATGATCATTTTAAGTTTCAGGAAAAGGGTCATCATAAAATCTCTCTTTGCGATCTCTTTTAAGGTCATTTTAAAATCGCCAGTTGTATATAAACACTAGTTATCATTCACTAAAATTTATTTTTAATTCGGAATCATAATAAATGCTTAGACACATGACAACCAGGAGAGACTATAATAACTGTTATTTTTACCAGCGCTTGCTTAAAGATCCTTGGATGTAAACATCCGCAAGACAAACATATTAGCCAGTTTGTAAACACTTAACTCAAGTATATTGCATGTTGCTATAATCTAGAAGACTGCAATTTTGCGTCTTATCTATAGCAGATAAGGGAGAAGTATGTTCACGAGCATAGAAGCTTTTTTAATGAGCATGATCCATACGAACGTGGGCAAATGACCGCCTTTTGACCCTAATGCTTTCTAGCGGTGTCTGCTTCACTAGAGATAAATGATTGTTTGCTTTCCAGTGGTGGTCGATTTTTGTTTGTGCATGGTGAACAATTTCCCACACATGCATTGTAATCTTTTCCTTGCAAATTCATGATCACCCAACATACTAGACTAACGTGGGAGTATACAAACTACAAGACTCATACGGACGTGGCGACAAAACGATAAAAAGCCCATTTAGAACTTGCTAGTGGTAGCAAACGGCATAAACACACCTTAATAACTGCAGAAGCCAAGCAGTTAATCCACCTTCATTATGAGGAAACAGGATAGAATTCATAGCGCTCAGTATGAGGGCCAAGAACCGTGAAACATGAACAATCGATGAGAGTTTCGCGGTAGAGCGACGCAAACACGGGACATTAAAAAACGAATCTCTGGAGCGCTGCATCCCACCCCAAACAATGTCTTGATAAGCCAGCGGTTTTTCGTTGGAAACGTCAATGCAATGCTCACGTGAGAAAGCTTTTAGCGCTCAGTTACGGCCTTGTTAATGACAATTAGAAATTGGATTAAAACAAACGGCGGTCGGGACTCGGATACCTTAGAGCTTCTAACATTTCTTTGATAAACCACGTCGTTCCTCTAGCCGCTTAATTTCCAAACTACCCCTATCCATATCAAGCAAAATTACCCAATTTGGAACTAATAAGTAAGAGAATAATGTAGAAAAGAATGTTGACACTTTGCCGTAAGGAACAAGAGGGCACAAGAGTAAGTGACCAAGCCTCAAGATTGCTATCTATCTCTTTTTGATTAAGACTTCAGACAACTTTTTACAATATTTCTTTCATCAGCGGCACCCTTTTCTCGTTTTTCAGTCTTCAACTAAAATGAACATTTGAAGCTTGCGCTGTTTGTAGCTAGTCGCTTTGAGTAGGAAAAAAGTTATCTTAAATAACCGAATAAGTGCCTTACTAGAAATGCCCCCGAAAAAAAGCGGTCCTTTTGTTAGCGCCTAGCGGCTCGTGAAGATTTTGTGTAGAAAACGTCGGTTTGCCTTTGCCGGTTGGAATTTCAGGATACTTTATGCAATAGACCTCGCCCCTAAAATCAACTCTTCCTGATCAGCAGTTGCACGATGGTCGTTACAAGACGGTTTCGTAATTAAAGGCTGGCAAAGGTCTTCCATTTCAATTCAAGCGATGAAGCAAACTAACGCGTTCATGGCGTTAATCTTTGTGTAGCGAGTCTTGTTATAGTTTACTTACCTTAAGAAAGACATATTCCGACTACGCTTCTTTAGTGATAACGTTCTTGTTAAACAGAGATTCCGTGATGCGCAGAATAATAGGCGAATCTCGTGTGTAGAAAGGCGTTTGTTATGATCGCCTTTAACGTGTTTCACTGTAAAGTGGGGAAATCGAAATATAAGACGGACTGTAAAGACTGAGGAATGCAGCTACTTGTGAGAAGTAGACACCGTGGCGCTCTTTTGGGTTTACATATACATGTGTAAAATTTCCGCCTAGTTTAGGCTTTATTGAAACTATATACAATCACATACTTGGGAAGAAGGTTATTGAAAAGTTTTAAAAATCAAGTCATTGAGATGTGAAATGGTTTTTAATTCTCTCCTTCTTATAGAAGCGAAAGATACAGTATCTGGAAAATTCCTTTCCTTAGATTAAAAAAACACTTGCAAGTAAGAGAAGAAACTTGCAATTAATTTTTGGAGTTAACTTGACTGTAATATATGTACTGTAGTAAAGACAGAATGGCGAGCCCTGGGAATCAGAGAGGGACGATTTTAATTAACGTTTTCCTTAAAATGAGCAATGGGAACATTTAGGTCAACAACTGACTGCTGAACTGAATAGCCTTTATCAGATTTTTAACATATAATTTGTCATTACGAATGTCGTTTTTATGGCTTTTTCCGTAAAAAGCATTGCCAACGTAATTAGTCTTTTTGGCTTGTCTTGATGCGCAAAATAGATCCTTTAATATTGATTATGTCATCATTTGAGGACATGAGATCTGTTATTACTATTCATTCAAAATATTTCGCCTTTTCTGATTGGCTCCAATCCACTGGCTAATTCTTCATAACCAACTGGCGCTTACCATATTTGGAAGATCGATTCGAGAGTACACAGTCGAACCTCCACTAACGGCAACTTTTTTGGCGGGAAGTTCCATACATTGACTCTTGTTTAAACCTCTCTAATACGACTACTTTCGTCTGTCCCTAAGGTGACAGTTATGGAGAGGTTTAACTGTATTTGATTAGAAACGAGGTTGATCGATGTCTTTTTTACTTAGGAACGAGACTGCTTGGTCAATAGTGAACTAAAAAAATGGCGTTGTTGGCTATCCGAAGTCGAAATAACTGAATTTCTGACTAAAACTGAACTGCATGAAGAATAGGGCATTTACACGATGACGTCATTTTACTACTATGACCAGAATCCTTTAGGGTTTTGCTTTCTTATGCAAATTGTGACTTTTGTTATTTAAGCCTCGCTGGGATTACCAAATTTAAATATGAAAGGAAAAAACGAAAAGGATTCTGGTCGTAGTAGCAAAATGACGCCATATTGCAAATGGCCTATTGCAAGAATACGCAAAACATATTGCTCGATGAATGTTATCTACTTTTTGAGAAGTATCTTCAAGAATAAAACATCTGTCTCCATTTTCAAGCCCTACCTCTGTGCGCACCCAAAAGGAGGGATTTTCGAGCCAGTCCACCATCGTATTTATCTTTTTTTTGATTTTCAAGACTGCGGCGGAACCCAATAGCGTCACCACTTTAAAAATAAAAGCGCTTCCGCATAACTTATGCAAACTATTATATCGCATATCGAAATTTTTCTGAAACGGGTGCAGGTTTGGTTACCCTTTGGGGGTAAAAAGCAAAAAGACGATGAGTTGCATCAAAGAAACTGAGCTCACTAACATAGCAGGTGTTTCGATATTTCGGGCAGCAAGTTTTAGGAATGTTTAATTAAAGGCAGACATTGCCTCCGCCAGCTGTGTCGCACTCTGGCTTTATTAGTACTCACAATATGACCGTATATGGAGAAAATGTTGAAGTTTTAGGATACGCTCAAATCCTATCACCCTCTACCGATGAAAGTGAGTTTTCCTTGAAGGTTTTTAAAAAGAAATGCTTTCTTGGAGTTTCTAGCTACCAAACAATTAGCATTATTGAAAACAAAGGACTCCCGTTAGCTCATAAGAGATTCGAAATGACTCACGACACGGACGGTTTCTCCACTAATTTACGTGAACTCACAAACAATTTACCTAATCTTATATTAACTTCCCACGGTTGTGATATTAGAACAAAATAGACGTTTACGAATTCCTTAAAATAGATTGAATGGTAATAAATCATTCGTATACAAGGAATGGATTTTATTTCGCTTTTTAAAAGAAGATTCTTTAACTTGAACAGTAGCTCTCATGAACTCTGAGCCTCATTAAATGTAGCGAACAATGAAATATATCAGTTTTAAGTAGCTGTTACGTTATATCAATGGTACAACACGCTAATATATTTAACGCGTAACTGATGCTCACGGGTGCGCAAAGATTTCTCAACGGCCTCCCAGGTGAAGGGCGGTAAAGACAAATCTAAACAAATTAAAGTCATTAAAATGGTGTCAATTGTGATTCATTTTTTGTGTCTCAACAATAACATTAGCGACAACATGATAATAATACAAATGCATAGCCGGTTAAAGAAACTTTGCAAAGTACTTTGTAAAGGTCGTTTATCGCATGGATGACTTGTGCGCACTTCAGAAATCTTATTGTTCTGAATTATTTTTATGACTTTATTTTTCTAGTCGAAGTTACAAGCCGTGTTGATATAACAAAGGTGGAACATTCAAGAACAGACACATAGTGATCACTCAAAGTCCACAAAAAATACTAGGTCTTAATCGTTTACCAATAAGAGGTCAAACACCGTTGTTTGATGGGGTGGGTTAAGTCCAACCCAAGATAACAAACTTTTGTGCATTGAAAAAGAGCTTATAGATCAAAGGTTCCGTTTGTTAATTACTGTCAAAACAATTGCACCACCACAACAAAATTGGATTTTTTTTTTCGAAATGACCAAAATCAAGCAAGACATAAAAGAAACTTTTTTAAATTTAATTCCCACGAAGGAAAGGTTTTATGTTATTTTTTTGCAGTGAGTGATAAGCTTCACTTGACAAATAAGTGCGCGCTCCATTAGACGCATGTGAATGCAAATTTTGACGCCGATACAGTCAAAGTTGTAGCCATATACCGTTGTATTGTGCTTAGAGATGTCTGGTCTTGTTACACTGAGTCACTATTGCCGTATTATCAACGGGCACCCATTAAATGTTTAAATTCGATTAGTCACTTTAATTTTATCTGGTTCTAGCTGTGAAAGTATGAACGGCTTCACTGTCCACACAGCACGATACACTGAAATAATTTACAATGGAATAAAAAGCGGTAATAGCCCCGGTGTATTTTATGCTCGAGCAAACTCTTCCCAACATTCCACTTAAACTCGAGTGGTTTTCTAGCTTCTGCAGATGAGATTAGGAGATTAAAATTACTGATGACTAAACAGCACTTGCCGACCAAACCAAATGATTGATAAAAACCGTATAGATAGAGAATCTAATGAAAATTCAACATAATAAACATACCTCTTCCTCCATGCAGCTTCTACTTCGAGAACTGTTTCTTTATTCCTCTCATCCAATTCCATGAAATTCTTCCAGTTGTCCTTTTCCTTCCTTAGCGAAGCTATGTTTTTGTGAAGGATGCTTCGTTTTTCTGGTTTAGCTTCTTGAGCTTTTTCTAAAATCTCCGTAACCTGCAAATCAAAACAAAATAAATTCAGAGGAAGAAACCAAGGAAGCCTTGAAGGTGACGTGCAGTGTATGAAAGTTCTCGGTACCGGTTACAACCTCCACCCAGCCACAATCGGTTATTATCGACTAGTGCGGGAGTGTAGCGATGGCCGATTAACGGACTCCGTATGTAAAGAGCGATAACGTAGGAGAATACATCAAGCATACCCCGGACCCGCAAAATGCGGAAACTGTAGATCCAATAGTTTGAAGGGTAGTTTCATACTTATACCACTAAAACTTTCGCAAGTATGTTCCCAATTAACATGTGTTTCCAAACATAGACGCGTCTAATGTTACAAGAAAATAAACTTACAGAAAGAAGAGAGTATAAAATCAGTTTTCCAGTGAAGAATGCACTAATATTTCATTATTGAACACATTACTACCTGCTCCAAAACTGCCAGAGAGAAGCCGCTGACAAGGCTTCCAATAGAGCGCGGTTCTGTGGCGCTCCAGTGGTCCGTGGAATCGTGACCAACTTGCTCCATGTTTTCGAAATGTAATCGAGAATTTTAGGTCGCTTGCTTTTTAAACCACTAGCCCGTGACTGCTGTTACAAGTATGGAAAGGACCGGAGCACCGGACAAACAGTAAACTGAAAGGACTTTCCAATCACACGTTGCCTCAACAACAGACAAAATGCTGGCTACATGTTCTCAGATACAATTTTGGCCCCATGTGCTGGACATTAGGATCAGAATACCAGTGGGTATTTGTTGGTAGAATTCGGCTCCTGCAGCTTCGACGAAGAACACAAGACGAATGGTAATAGTAGCCGCGTATTTCAATGGTGTTAGACCACCAACTCAGACACTAGTAAATCAAAAGAGGCGGGCGGACCTATGTATGTCATCACGAAATTTCAACAATGATGGCACCTTGTGGAAATTGCACTCAAACTGTAAGGATTTCATTAGTAAATTTACAAATTTAAACGGTTCATCGCAACCCTCAAAAATGCCGGATAGTTTTTCTTATATTCTCCTCAATTACAAAGATAGCGCAGTACAAGCACGACTGAGTCGATAATGGAGTTATTGCCAGACAATTCAAAACACCCTTTGTGCCATAATCCCCGCCAAGATCCAGGAATAATAACGCTTTTAGCGGTAATTAAGGTACGGACCAGTATCAGCTGAATGTGTTTACGTATTGACATAAACCAGGAGGCAAATTTACCGCTTTATCAATAAACGGCGTCATCAAAATAATAGCACGCTTTCTTTCATGAAAGAGGCTAAACTTACGAATATAAGTCGGGAACTGAATGGTTTTCTTTTGATCTCACTTACTGCAAACATTTGATGATTTGTTCGTCATAAAAAGTTGCAGAAACTGCCAGGAAAGGATTACCAAAAGCATTCACTGTAGCCCAAGCCGCCAACGCCTTATAAACAATTCAGAAGAACCCAAGGCCGATTTGCATTAGAATGTCCCGCGCACCTAAGTCATCGGCGCCATCCTTGTCCAAATAGCTCTGTCCAAACAGATTCACACCCCTCTATTTTACGGTTGGTCGATAACAGCTAGCGCTTACTGAACCCACGTTTCGCCAACGCGTACGCCCTTTTCGTCCCATGTAAAGTGATCTGGATTCTGGGAAATTTTTTCTTGAGGAATCCAGAATCTTAGGCTTTAAGATCCGGAATCCCGTAGCTTGAGTAGCGGGCGCGGTTATTTAGGGCAAAGGCAGAAACCAGCGCCTGCCACGGAGGCTATTAATCTCGCTAAAGATTGGAATCCGATTGCAATTTCACAGACAAGAAATCCGGAATCCAGTTCCTTGAGTCCGGAGTCCACAAAGTGGAATCCAGAATCCAAGACTGTCTTGGATTATTTTACATGGGGCCAGTCTCTTTCAGTCAACCATGACTTTCCAGGATTTTTTTCGACACTGCTACTAACACATGATCAGAATACATTGTATTAGAAAACCGCAGGTCATCTCAGGTGGGGGGAGGGGGGGTGCGCACCCCCTGCACCCTCCCCCTAGATCTGCCCCTGACTCTATAGTGGTAGTTTTGCTGAGAAAATAGAGATTGTATTGAGGTTTTGAAAAGGCAATGATCAAACCTAACCGCTTAAACTATTCAAACAAAGAGGGTCTGCTGTAAGCATCTATCAAACTGAGTAAAGTTAAACTGAATGCGTCTCCAATGTAATGTGCTCATTTGTACCATCAGAACGGGAATGAAGTTATGACATTGGAATCATGTACAAGTAATTATAGAGTGGGTGCTGTTTAAGTGCTTCGTTTCGTAAATAATATGTACAAAATTCAGTTTATCAATGCATATTCGCAGACCCAGGCCATATTAGTTCGTATTAGCCCTGAGGAACGATGGCAATAGGAACATTACTATTTGAAGAAAACCTGAAAGGGAATTTACGATGTTGATACCCCGCTGCCCCGCTTCCGCCCCCCTCAAAAAAGGAAGCAAGAAAATGAAAGGAAACAAATAAGAAAACGAAAGAAAACTGGTAGCAATAGGTTAGACAAACAAAAACGTATTCGAGTGGAAAGTAACCATAAACAATAAGAAAGACAGTTAATTAATGATGTACGTGCAATGTATCTTTACAGTGCGTGGGACTCAATCGAAGGCTGAATGCAAAAGAGGTGGTTAGGAGATATTGATCTTAATTTATTTTTAAAAGGCATATTCGGGTCTTTAGGTGGATAAGCATTAGCTTCCGAACTACTATTAGTTTACAGAAAGATAATAAAATTGATCAAAGATAGATCAAATTTATCAGTTGCAGATAACATATCGGAATCGTCGATCTCTAAAATTTTTAAATTTCATACCGTATTCACTGAATTTTGTTAATATCCAGTGAATAGTACCTGTTCAAGAGAATCAGTCATGATGTTCTTCGAGCGATTTGCGAAGTGTAGGGAAACTCGGTCATCGATGTTGTGAAATTCAATCAGCAAGAATGAGTGTCCGGCTGACTCACGTACTAGTGTTCAATAATAACAAACTGGAATAAAATGAGTCATGTAGTGTTCAAGTCATATGTAAGTCATGTGTTCAATACGACAAAAATTTAGACTTCTTTGTCACAAGTTTGACCATCTCTCATTCAGCACTTGCAGCATGAAAGACAACCAGTTAACCGATAGTGATGGCTAATGGAGGGTTATTATACCAAGGTCTCGCTACCCTTGCTTTTAAAACTCTGCTCCCAAAATGCATGTAGCAATATAATATTTAGAACAGTTAGACTGAAAGAATTTTCCTTACCTTAATTTCCTCTGAATCTCAGAATTGTCATGGTTCCTCAAGATCCGCGTCGACACACTCAGGCAGCTGAATATCCATGCATTTCCATTTTTCACCGACTAAGAATATTATTTGGGTACCAGCGTCTTGCATAAATCCATACATAATGACGTCACAATCAATGGCAATTTCTCAGCCACAGCTGGAAAATGTATACGCTGAATTTCTGATAACCGAACGCGGCAAATGATAGGCTGTTGAAGATGATAGTTTGATTTTTGCATTTAAAATAAAGGCATCTCTCATGGATTCTTTTCCTTTTAATAACCATTTTCGATAACACTGAACAAAAACAACACTAAGTTGTTTTTCACCGCCGATGAATAGCAAAACAAACTGCTTGTTCTAATAGTGTGTAGTGCCGTGAAGCGACGTTTCCTTTGAAATGAGGTCAGAAAAATATTTTGATGGCAAATATATTTTACATTTAATAACCTCACAACCAGCTACTATTAAGTGGTGAGAACTGTCTGTAAAGACGTAGTAGGCCTAGTTTTTTTCCGCCTTGTAGTATCTCTTAAATGTCCAGCTCCTTTTAAGATCTCTCAATAAGGACAACGACGATCGATTTTTAACAGATATTTTTGGCTGTTGTTGTTTATGTAATGCAATTTAATTTAGTTAATGGAAGAATCTGGCACGCAAGCAAAGCCATTTGATAACTTTGATATCAAAATAACCTTAGGAAACGTCTCAAGGCAGCAAAATGTGTTTTTATCCACCAACAACTAATCAAAAAAGACAAAGTCAGTTCGTAAGTATTCTAAAACGACTAGAGAGCCAAATATACACTAAAATGTTCAAATAGAGGAACGTTCTTAAAGAATTGGCGCCCTACTTTTCAGTGAGAATAAAATATATTTTGATTAGTAAAAGCTCTGAATATATAAATACTCCAACATACTGGCAGGTGCCAGTCCATCCCTGACCTTAATCTATTCTAAATATATCTTAAACTTCACAAACTCATCAACATTCAATACGAACAGAGTATCCAGTGGAAACACGAATTAATCACATGCAAGGTTGAATTAGAGAACACATGAAGTTTAATATAACCTCTAAACAAGTCATCAAATTATGGAGAATGCGATAGCAATGAAAAAAAAATTAACACAAAAATGGAGAAAGAGGCATTCAGTTATTTCTCTAGTTAACCTACAGTTCTCTGTGTTCCAGCTTTGTTAAAAAACAAACAAACAAACAAACAACATGGAGGGCAATAATATGGACATGGCTATGTGAAAGCTAGAGCTTTAGCTTGTTCATTGGAGAGAAAAGCAGTTTCCGGTTGCCTCAACTTTGGGATGGTTATGGTTTTGCACCGTTTTACATTTCGATTGACTCAAAACATCTTCGATGCGTGAAATTTCTTAACAAATCAGAAGTGAAACCGAAACCTACCATGAATAGTACCCAAGCGTTTTCCTGCGCTTTTTTTCGAGATTCTATTTGATACTATAAGTATTGTTTCTTGGCGAGAGTTATGTATTTGCCCATGGTTTGAAAAGGATTTAAGCCAGAGAGTCACTCTACATGTCACTAGGCCTCTGCCACTTGTCTTTCATATTCAATCTGCAGCATCGATATTTATATCTCGTTTGAGATTTGTTGGACCCACTCTTTCTTTTCAAGAAAAACTTCTGCAGTAATTCGTTTGGCCCGCAGTGGACATAATGAGTTGTCAGACCTTTGATCATTTCGTTCGCCTTTGCTCCCCAATCTGTCTCAGTATCGCGGCAGACCAAGCGATTGTCCAGAACGCGACGGACAACTTCACCGATAACTTCTTTCTCCCTTTCAATCGCTCTTTTCAAGGACTGTAGGAAAGAATAATAATAAAAACAGAAATTAAAAGGAAACAATGGGAATATAAATAAGGGGTTTTTTGTTTTTTTAAAGTGTGAAATATTTTTAATCCCCATTGTGGCCAATAACTTTGGCAAATCTTTGGGTTTTGCATCAGGTCTTCGAAAGAGCAGACACCTTTGTAAACAACGGTAACTCAAACAAACAACAACAACAACAACAACAAAAAAGAAACAATATCCCAAGCCCCCAAAATAAGAACTGCTGCTTACTGCACTACAGAAATCTTTCGCTGGGCTTATTGAACATTGTATATTATCAAGAAGGGTACGATTGGTCAGTTACATAAGGCCCAAGGTTACAAATCCTAAATTTGGTGCGTAGCACCCCCAAAACGTTTTCTTCTTGAGATTATATAGCCTCTTCGGCAGACAACTCCAATTGTAACCGTTACACTGACCGTGAGGAGTCTGAGAACGAGAAAAGGTGAAAAAAAAACGAGGAGTTGCAATGACACTCCCCGTTCTCTCCCCATTCTCCCACTCGTTCTCTGAAAAAGGACAGTATTTCAGTGCAGTATTTCAGTGCCTCTCTTCTATCCTGTGGATTTTTATACCCTAGTCAGAGTATAAGGGAGGTGTTTTATCTAATCCCTGACACGTAAGGAAGCTTGAAGGGATGCCCTCCCAAAACGCTCATTGACACCTGTCACTCACCTTTTGTCCCTTCTCGTGGTGGGTTGTTTCACGTATTAGGTTTTCCAGTGAAGCAAGCTGCAGTTTTCGTTTGATTTTGTCAGTCTGGAAAACAATTTCCGCTTGAAGGTCATCCCTTTCGTAGTCATCGCCTTTTTCTTTGAGATAAAACTTGATGTTATCCATCTGCTTCTTCTGTTTTGTCATAATTGCCTGCTGCTGGGCTATTTTCCTCTTCATACGGGACATTTGCGACTCGTACATTCGAAGCCCACGTATGATGTCGTTGTCGCTGAGTTCTCGCTGATGATAAGAGATAAACTTTTACCCTTTAAGCCCCAATAGCCACATACAAATTCTCCAAACTGATCTCTATACATGTCCTTTAAGAATTAGTTAAGAGAATCTGATAAAAGATCAAAGTATTTTCTCTTAGGTGATCACTTCATTAATTCTCATAACCTCATCTCATGACAATTTATGGATATGGTTAGGAAAAAATTGCTGTCGGTCACTATTGGGACTTAAAGGGTTAAAAGGGCAGGAGTGCTGTGCAGGTTTTTGTCGGAAACACCTTTGTTATACAATATTTACGGGTAACGTATCCAAAATCAAAATTTAGTTGTGAACTTTCTTATGCGTTATATGACTGTACTACCACAACGGTGTTTTAATAGCATTTCCAGCACCAGGGAAAATACATACAGTGAAAACTCCAAAAAAAATTTGTTTAAGATGATATTTTGGATTTTCTTTGGCTAACGGCAGTTACTCTATCTATTTTTACAGTCAACAGAGTTCAAAAGAAGAAAAATCTATTGTTGTGAAAAACTTTTGCACAACTTTGCAGCAAAGGAACTAGCCCGCGAACCGCACTGAGACGTATTTCCGGTCGTCGGTTCTCTCGGAAATACGTCTGCGGTTAGCTGGCTACAAAGGAACCCATTTCAGGTGAATAACTGCTAGCGCTCTTTCTTTTAAGAAGTCAAGACTGAATGTGGATAGCAAAATCAATTATTTTGGGCCGAAAATGGGTGTTGACCAACCGGCGAGGGTCTCAACAGCCCCCCTTCCCCTTCCGCGCTTAACCCCCCTCCTTCAACCACAACAGATCACAAAGTACCTTTTAATTTCACCTTCCGCTCAATCTTTTGATAATAAAGCTGATTGAAGACGAAATACGGTACTTTTTCATTCACCCAAACACTGTCTAGATTCTACAGACGATCAAAATACACCAACAAAGCCTTTTAGGAGTCAAATTGTGCTGGAAAAGCTATATCAGACTTATCTAGAAATTGCTCATTCAGACGCAATGACACTGACAGCGAGTTTGCCTTTGTCATGACGATGCATAACAGTTTTCCTCGATTCTTCTGAGGATCCTAACGTTACCTTACCTTGGATCGAACTCTGTCCAGTGGTAGGCCGCAAATGCAGGCGAGATTAACAACGGAGAAAACCAACACGCCAAGCAGTGTTCCCGACACTGCCATGATCAAAGACTAAAAGAAAGTCACACAAAACAGAGTTGACTGGCTCGTTGTTATATGATATATAAATATTGGAATGGTAAAATTCGACACTTTGTGGACATACCTTAGGTTTTAGGAATGGAAGGGCTATCCCCCTGTGCCTCCTATTTCCGATATTTTCTGTGACCTTTTCTAAGCTATTCTCTTCCTTCAATCCTCGCCAAGATGATACAATAATAAGTTCATCTTTTAATAAAGGAAAATGTATGCACAATTTATCAAACCTCTTCCAAAGTTCTGTTCCATTTCTCAATTTACGAAGCTCGGCCGAAGTCTGTCATCACTTCATCTTTCCATTATCATCTTACACTTTTAAAGCACAGCAACACAAAACACGATTGTTCATAAAGACAATCTTAAAATGGCGAACTACGCTGTTCTATTATTGTGCTTGTCAACGTTTTTCCTACTCAGAAATTCTCAAGGAAGACCGAGGGGAAAGTTGCGATTAAAGGTAAGCAAGGGGCGAAATCAATGTTTCTAATTCTGCTAATTCAGATCGGTTCTCTCTGCTTCAAAGACTTCAGTTGTAAGGAATAGTAACGAATGAACGAATGAACATGACCGTCCAATGTAATGGATTTTTTTCTCATCTAAAGTGTGTATCAGTAACATGCTGAAATAATCTAGCTCAAGGTGTCCTGTTCCGTCAGAAGCAGCCGGTATTTATCATTTCCTAACCGGTCCTACTGGGGCTTTTGCAATGATCAATTAAAGTCACGAAAATTCCAGGGGTTGGGGGGGACAAGCACCCCCTGGAGGTGGGGGGTCTAAAGCATTAGCGCCCTTCGTAGGGGAGGTATGGATATTTTATGGAACTACACAGCACCCATTATGACATTGAAGTTTTGATTTTGTTGATGTTGTTCATCTTTTATAATTCTTGGTCTTGATCGAGATGAATTTTCCTTTCAACATACACAGAGGCAGACCACACAGAGTTCCTCTTCCGCTTTAGGCGCGCTGATGTCTTTCTCCGTCAAACTTTCTGACATGGAGCGTCAAATAGCCTCTTACGAAAAAACGATCAAACGCCAGACTGCAGAGATCGACCAGCTACGGGCCAAGCTTGACTCCAAGTCGGAACGGTCGCAGTTTCAGAGCCTACAAGCTTTGCTCACCAGCAAGATGACAACGGTCAAAGATGAAATTAACACAAAGGATCTTGTGATAGAGAGGTACCGAAATAAACTACGACAACTGGAAGAAGAGATCACGGTAAGAGTCGCCCCTGCAGTGCCTAGTTTCAAATCGAGAGGGGCAGGATACGAGTCGGTTTATTATGGCATAAACTTCACGAGACCCACATAGTCAGAAAGAGCAAATTGAGGTTATGAAAAATCTGAAGTTTGGTGTCAGTCAGGCCAATATTGAACAAGCTACAGCTATTTATAAACTTAAAAATTTCTAAGAGATGTACATGTAGGGCCTGCCGGACACATCGTCCGGACGTTTGTATATTTCTTGGCTGTATCTCTATGGGGCGCCGTTTGTAAAAAAAATGATTTAGCTTAATTTTGTCATTTTTTTCGTTATTTATTAAATAAAGTTTTCTGATATGATATCATACGTCAATGATTTGATATAATAAATGTTGATTTCAAATCATGCGTTTATGATTTGATATAATAAATTATTATTTAAAATCATGCGTTTATGATTTGATATAATAAATGTTGATTTCAAATCATGCCTTTATGATTTGATATAATAAATATTGATTTCAAATCATAAGTTTATGATTTGATATAATAAATCCTGATTTCAAATCATTCGTTTATGATTTGATATAATAAATCCTGATTTCAAATCATAAGTTTATGATTTCATATAATAAGTTCTGATTTTAAATCATAAGTTTATGATTTGATATAATAAATCCTGATTTCAAATCATAAGTATATGATTTCATATAATAAAAATCATTATTTGATATCAGTAAAACCATGATTTAATTTAATAAGTAATAAGTAACCGCGTGACTTGGCACGTGGGTTACTAGCGCGGGAATAATCGCAAAGATGGCGACACAACCAGATCAGCTATCGAGGTCAATCGCTTCTAGGGTCTCTAGAGCCGTAGAAAGGGCGGTTGACCAAGCTTTGGCATCCCTTCCGAGCCTTCCTGGCAATTCAGGTTTTGCTGCTGCGACACAATGTATCCGGGGGGGGGTACTCCCATACATTACCTGTACGGGTATATGTGCCGCCCAACGGGGTCGTGATTTTGAAGCTCCTGATTTAGAACGGGGTATCCATTTCAGAGGCGTTTTCTAGAACGGGGTATAAAAAAAATTGTGGATTATGGCTTTATCTTCTGCTTAAAATTGTTGCTGATTATGAAGAAGCATCTATTTGATGTATAAGTCGAACAAATAAAGAAATATCTTTTAAAAAAACAGGGCTATTTCAATTTACGAACTTTCTAGAACGGAGTATAAAAAATCGGCCCATTTCTAGAACGGGGTATCAGTTTTAAGGCGAATTCTAGAACGGGATATAAATAAATTGGCCCATATCTAGAACGGGGTATCAATTTTAGGGGATATTTTTTTTAGAACGGGGTGCCTATTTGGAGTCCCGGGCGGCACATACCCCTCATTATTGATGTCTTCCAAGCGCCTCATCTGTTTCTTACATGTTGCACTGCATCATTAGTTAAGGGGATTGCGTGTTAATCGGAAAGCTATGACTATATTTACGAGGGAAAGAGGACTTTTGGACCTTTCGCTTGTCTGGCGCATTGCGTGACACGCGCGGCTTAGTTTTAGATGTGTTTGCTTCCTTTGTTATGTCCTTTTAGTAGCCATACTAAAATAACATACAGCTAATGATTGTTTCTATTTCACAAAGTGAGGCGACAAGACAGTTCGTCAGAGAACAAGAGATCGAGACAAACAAAGGGCTATTTACACCTCAGCACCGGGAGGAGAAATTATTAGTTAGTGACATCGGTCCAAGCGTCCTTGGCGAACAAAAATCATTGTACAGGCGTAACATTGAGACTCTGGTTTGGCGACAAATCGCAGTAGCATATATATGCTCGGAAGGGATGCCAAAGCTTGGTCAACCGCCCTTTCTACGGCTCTAGAGACCCTAGAAGCGATTGACCTCGATAGCTGATCTGGTTGTGTCGCCATCTTTGCGATTATTCCCGCGCTAGTAACCCACGTGCCAAGTCACGCGGTTACTTATTACTTATTAAATTAAATCATGGTTTTACTGATATCAAATAATGATTTTTATTATATGAAATCATATACTTATGATTTGAAATCAGGATTTATTATATCAAATCATAAACTTATGATTTAAAATCAGAACTTGTTATATGAAATCATAAACTTATGATTTGAAATCAGGATTTATTATATCAAACCATAAACGAATGATTTGAAATCAGGATTTATTATATCAAATCATAAACTTATGATTTGAAATCAATATTTATTATATCAAATCATAAAGGCATGATTTGAAATCAGAATTTATTATATCAAATCATAAACGCATGATTTTAAATAATAATTTATTATATCAAATCATAAACGCATGATTTGAAATCAACATTTATTATATCAAATCATTGACGTATGATATCATATCAGAAAACTTTATTTAATAAATAACGAAAAAAATGACAAAATTAAGCTAAATCATTTTTTTTACAAACGGCGCCCCATATATCTCGTCACTCGTTCAATATAGTCCCGATAAACACCAAACTTGAGAATGTTGCTAATTTCAATGTGCTCTTTCTGACTATATGGGGCTCGTGTTGTTTATCCCATAATAAACCGACTCGTACCAGCCCCTCTCGATTTGAAACCAGGTAACGTAAGGGAATCCGGATTTCGGAATGAGCGAACTTTTCCTTTCGGAATCCGGAATCCTGGGCTTTGGAATCTGGAATACAGCTCAAGGAATCGGGAATCCCAATAACGACTGGAATTTTTCAAAAGCTGTCGTTCCAACGGTGGAGAATTTGTCATCAAAGGTCTGCCCCGGGGTGGAGAATTTCTCACTTATAAATTTTCTTAACATTTTCTACTTCTTATTAAAACACTCTGTGGCATATAACAAGAACAAAAGCACAAACTTATTTAAAAGATTTGGTAGCTCAAAACGTCGGGTTGTTGCCTTTACTGAACACTGAATTTTTTGTTAGGAAATACGGGATGATTACGCACAGCTGCACGCGGACTCCACACAGGTACTAGACAAGTTTGACAACTTTGGTTTACACTGCACCACCCAGAAAACCGGTTATGCTCCAAAAGTGAACGGAGCCATCGGGTACCTTGATCGGCAGTGGGTTCGTTGTCATCAAAATGAATTCCTGCAAGCTTTTGTATTGAAAATGGCGACTTCTTACGGAGAGGATATGGTTAGATATGAATACCAGTGCTGTAGCCTTAGTATTTAAAAAGCATGTAGTGTGCTTAGGTGAATATTAAAATCAAACAAACTTTCAAAATGCTAAGGAACAAAACGTAGTTCGCTCTATAACGATACTAAGTGCCATTACAGGGCACTTCAGCGTTTTGAGTCTTAATAAACGTTACATTTGCTTGTTCTTGTTTTTCTTTGCTTTCAGTTTTTTAATACAACCGGCCGCAATTAGCGTGAAAGTCATCTTTAATTTTAGTTGACGGTTAGTTGATTTTTACAATGAATTTACGACTCTGTGCGATTAGTTTGAAGTTTAAGTGACACTACATGTACTAGCTATATGTCACAAGCTAACAGCTCCCAGCGCGTACTCTACTGACAGTATAGTTATGACAGGATAACTAGATTGTATTCTTTTTGTTGCTGTTATTGTTTTTAAACTCAGTATAACAGGAATACATGCACAGAGTCAGTAATTGAATCAGACTTCCCTTGAAAGGAAGACCACAAACACTTTATACATTATACACAATATATAATTATATATCTAATATAAATTCTCTCTCAGTTAATTATATTCACTGTGACAGAGTGTTTTTTTCTTGCGAGTTTAAAGTCATATATAGTCCATTTCATTCGTGAAGCTTTAGCTTTTTGAATGATTACGACGAAACTAGAAATATGATAACGATAAAGTAGTTATATAAAAATAAAAGTAATAAAATTTTAGTTTGTAGTGGTCTTAAAAAAATAAAAATTATTTTACCTTTAAAAACTCACGCTCAGAGAAAAGTGTGAAACATCACGATTGTCTTATTTGCTCTTTCGTCACAAACTGTATACCCATTTTGGCATGGTTGCGGAATAAATTAAAAATGAGACTAAAATGCCCATGATAGAAATACCCCTTGAGTGTATGAAATAATCGCGAAATGTTCATGCAAAATGGCACTCCAGGATATTTAGTAACAAAATGCCGTAAGTCATTTCTAACTTTCCTTTTCCTCGGCTCCGTCATCCTCAACACTTGCGTTACTTGCCGAGTCAACTGGTGTCAAAGCTAATGAAGGAGTCTTTGGAATCAACTGTTTTCTCAGGAATTCAACCTCTTGACATAAAATCTTCCTTTCTTTCATTAAATTGTTTCTCGTGGCAAGCAACTGGCACATCTTCGGGAAATAAAAACAGAAAGAAAGAAAAGAAAAAAGAAGATGCATCTCTCTGGGTCAGTTACAATTTAAAAAGCCATACAGTTGTTATTTTTGCAGTTAACGCCGTCAACTAACGTGAGCTAACGCTCAATTCTGCTCAACTTTCGATTACGAAAACAACAAATTATGGTACACCCTCAGTTGGTACGTGGATTTACTATTTGTACTTACCTGATCAACTTGTTTTCTGGCGTTCTCATCGCTTTCTTTAATGAGTTTGTCCTTCTTCGCGTTCTGCTCTGCAAGATCTCGCCTTTGCGCCATGCATTCCTGTAGCTTCTTTTTCATTTCAGTACATTCTTGACTGGCCTCTTGTAATCTGGATCTAGAATTAGGATAATCGGAGATGACAAACCGATGTGACAGACCTTTGAAACAAACTTCAACGATCGTTGCTCACTCAAATTTAAGGAATAATATGTATCAAAGACGTGGAGGCTGTTTGAGTAGTTTCTGCTTCACATACGCGTGCATAATACTACAACCTAAGTTACGGCCGAGATGCATGAACATTAAAAAAAATGTACTTTTTACGAGTGTCAATGTATTTAGTATGAAAGTATTAATCAGATTGTAGGCTCGATTTCCCTAACAGCGGCTGGTAATCGAGCCTATACTAACTGGGGACACTATCTAAGTCTCCAACTGGAAACGGGACAGCCATTTTACGCGGTCATCCTAGTCACGGGAAGGTCTAACCGCTTGCAGTGCAAAGGTAGTACCTTCATTTCTCAATTATTTCAAGACCCTGAGTGTTGGTCCGGCCTGCGACCTTCCGCTCTGCCAGTTCTGCCGTTAACCGCTCTACCGACTGAGCTAATCTTGCCGCAGTTAGAAACATGCATGTTCACCATAGAGAGAAGAAAGTGAATAGAGAAACGCAGAGAATGAAAAAGTACCTGGCCTTTTCAGAAGAATCTTGCAGCTGCTGAGTAAGTTTTTTGCATTCCTCTTTCAATTTGTTGCAGACTTTTATTTCTGCTTCCAACATTTGCTGTAGCTCAGTTCTGCATTGGGCTGTAGTACAAAAGAGTAATCAAGTACCACTTTCGTTCTCCCAACATTTAGGAGTAATACTTTACTTACTCTAGCGGGGATAGTCACTCATAGAGGGGGCAGGAGGCAATTCTGACATCATTGACCCAATATTTCTAGGGTTATAAGTACTCTCGTTTTCGTTCTTACAAAGGATAAACGCTACAAAGCCTTTAAAATCTTTTTTATGCCGCCGCATTCTCTCTGTTATCAACTACAGATTGATAAAAAACAATTATAGATGTGGTATGGGTGCCTTATTATATAATATTGGATTTTTTTCCTTTTTAATTTACAGGTAGAAGAGCCCTTAACCAGCAGGAAAACTTATTCAGAAATTATTGAAAACCAAGTCTCCTCGCTTCTGCCTGGAATAATAGAAAGATAACATTCGGTTTCTTACTGTGTCTCGTCTCTGTTTCTTTAAGCAAAGCAGTGAGCTGTTGTTCTCTTTCCATGTTTTGTTTCGTAAGCTTCTCGACCTTTTCTGCTCCTATTTTCTCCAGTTTTTCTTTTGCCGTCATAGCGCTTTTAGCCTGCATTAAAAAATATGGGATAGTTGCATCTGCAGTGGCGGAACGTACACTGGAGATTTGACAGCTTCAATACACCTTGTTCAGTCCAAAATGGCGACAAATATTGTTGTTCTTTTACTATTATAATAATTGGCCCTCGATGCCTCGTTTCAAGATAACATTGAATTTTGCAAATATAATCGAGGCAAAGAGGGATAATTAACGTAAATACAAAAGGAAAAGGTATTACCGCCATTTTGAAATAAGGTGCATAAAGAAAGAAGTACTATTTTACGAAAATGCGACGAGAGCTGGCCTGGGACTACTGCACTAGTGCAAAAACGGAGTTTGTGAATAACACATAGGGATCGGCGTGTAACGAAACGTTCTCATTTTTTGTTACAACATTCATTTGCTAGCAAAGAGTAGTGAATACAGAAGTAAATTGTCCTTTCTACAGAGAAACTTAGAACAAAATATTAGGAGAAAAAATACTGCCGCATCAAATTTGTTCAATAGATACATACCTCTCGTTCCGCTAGATTAAGTCTCTCTGTGAATCTAATGCAGTCTTCCTTACTCTCCATCCATCCTTTTTCTGCTTCTTGCAGGCGTCGTCGAAGAGTATCCATTTCGCTCTTCAGGCGTGTTCTCTCCTATGAAAAAATAACGTCAGTTTTACCTGTTATTATGACAGGTAAAAACATGAGAAGAGGAAAAAAATGGTGATGGTGATAATAGCAATGATGGTGATAATGATAATGACGACAAAGCTTATAACGACGTCGATCATGATGACAAGATATTGATTATGATGATGATGATGATGATGATGATGATAACAATACATAAAGACATATACGAACTTTACTTCCACAAAAATTGTATAGTGTAGCCAGAAAGGCGAATATCTCCGTGCAACATAATATAAATAACAAAAGGAACTTATTTAAAGAACCAGTACATGATATGACTCTGATATGATATGACTCTTGAAAGGAGACTGTCTTCAACTGATGTTTAAAACTAGTCAGAGAACATTCACTCCTTTGAAAGGGTGCAAACCATACGTGGTGGTTGCTGTTGTTTTTTTCTTTTTTCATTTTCTTTTTCTTTTAATGATAGATTTATAGATAAACGATGACGATGACGGTAACGCTGACGATGATGACGACATTACCTGCTCTTTTTCTCTTTGAGCTTGTTGAGCCGCTGCTTTGAGAGAAGTTATCTCTTGAGAAGCCAATGAAAATTTCATTCGAGTTTGTTCCAGTTCCTTTTGCATATTATCACCCGCCTAAAATAAGATAACAAAAAAGGAGTGATCATTAGGTTTAAGGCTTTAGCAAGACTAGAGAGAGTGCAGTAACGCCTAGTTTTCTTCCTCCTCTACTATAATTCCTCCCATCTCTGCCCCATTTTTTTGCGATCTTCATAGTTTTGACGTTCAAACCTGGGAGCAGTTAGATATAATGTAATGAAAGACATAGCTAAGGACGTTTGACGTTTACGTAGAGAGTTGGTTAAAAGCTCGAGCAAGAGAGAGTCCACTAACGTCTAGTTTTTTTCTCCTGTAATATTCATGTCCCACCTGCGCACCCATTTTTTCTATCTCCATAGTTTTGACACCCAAGAAATAACACTAAACCTGGCAGCAGTGAGATAGAACGTAACGACAAACTTAACAAAGGAGGTTTGGCATTTACGAAGACAGCTAGACTGTACTGGACGTTAGAGGTCGGCAGATACGTCCAGCACCACGCTTTAAATACCTGACCCACGGTAAAACCTGTGGAAGAGCTCCGGCTCATTGGTAACCATTCGTCACTTTAGAAACGAGAAGGGAACTGGAGGGAAGTGTGTCCCGCAATTGTTTCTGGGATAGTTACTGGCGACGCGCCGGTCAGCTTTTGGACAATTGTTTTTCCTATCGCTAGTTGCTGTCCCAGAAGTCGTTGCGAAACTCAACTCGGCCCAGTTTCCTTCTCGTTTCTAAAGAGGCGAAACCGCTGACCTGTGCTATCTCAGACGCATGCGTCATTATTTGGCTTTTTGCCTGCTCAAGTTCAGTCGCAACGTCAACCTGAAATAAACAAAGACAGTGAAATAATAAATCATTCACATTTCTACGGAGTCCAAGGAAAACGAAAAATTCTCAGCATTCTTTGGACTGAAAAGTCCTCTTGTCTTGACCACTATCATATATCACACATGGAATCAGAGTGAAAAGGACGGCTCAGGGTGAGGGGCGAAACTGACCTGATAACAGACTACAAAACAGTCGGGTTTTTTCTTAAATCGTTTTAGTGTGGCGTCAGTCTCACACGCGCGGCGTACACGAGCTTCACACGCCCTTAGGGTCCCCAGTCTCGCTATCAGTTTTCAGCCTCGCTACAGACCTTTTGTTTGAAAGTTCGCTCGTATTTGAATAAAATACGGACTGCTTTGCAGTCTAAAGGGTACTAGCTTAATACGTTCTACGCATATTGTACCTTTTCTCGAGTCAAGCGTTCCAATTGATTTTTAAGAGCTGAACGTGCTTCAATTGACTGTTCTAGCTGTTAAAAAGGAACCAAACAAAATATGTCCTAAAAAGTTACTCACCAAAATGCTGTTTAATACGGTTATACCAAGATCCGGTTTGGGGAAGCCCTATCCCGCCAGCAACACTGAAGAAAATATATAAGGCCTTTCTGAATTACTTACAGACTTAACTTACTCAAGACGTTTCTCTCTCAAAACAAGTGTTGGTGCCTATACCTCCATTCGCAACCAAATGAAACTTTATTATTATTGACATGTGTTGTGTAACCGACTGGACGAAGAACCAAGGGTACTCATAACCAAATATACTTATATACGTCTAGCGGGATTTTTGAAAACGCTACCGCCAAATGCGCCTTTTGCGTCCAACAGCTTTTTTTCGGCCAAACAATATCTCCAAAGTAACGATTATAAAAAAAACCAAGAGCGCAACCATTGCCTTTTTTCTTCTCCTTCTTCGTTCCTTCTTGTTCGTTAGCGTGATTTTGGAGCTTATCGGGCCCAAAAAGCCTGCCTTTTGACGCCTGTCCCTCAAATGACTGCAAATTTCGTTAGGTTGGTTTTGAAAAAAACGGCTAGACTTATAATCAACTGGTTCACGCTGTTTCGTTTGGGAAGCTTTGGAAATATGGCCTGTAATTTGAGACGATGCAATTAAGTCGCTCTGGCTGATTTGTACACTGAATTTGACTCGTCCCCACTCCTCTCTAAGTTGTCTCTACTCATTAATTATTTCCTAGGGAAGCGCTTGGGTTATGCCCGCGGGGAAGATGTTAAAGAGCCCGTTCTAGTCTTCCACGCCGAATACTAATAATGAGAGACGACTGGGGACGAGTCAGATACTGAATTTAATTTACCTGTTTGCTTAGTTTATTTGCCTCCACTAAGCAAGCTTGGCGTACATTTTCCCGCTCTTTCTCCATTTTTTCACTCGTTGATTTTATGTATTGATCATGACGATCTCGTTCCTTTTGTAAATCATCTTTTAGCTGCTGCACGTGGATTATTGCCTGAACAAGAAAAAGAAGAAAAATGTCCAAGAGGATATAATACTGGACAGGAACAGCCTCCTCCTCAGGCGCTTCGTTTTTCGCAAGGTAGAGGCGAGCGACTAGTGATGAGCCGCAAGGGGCCATGGGAAGGGTGCAGACGGCAGATGTCTCCTTCCCGCCTTCCTTTGCGCGCGCGAGAGAGACGTCTAGGTACGAGGCAGGGACAGGAATCAGATTGAGACAACTGCCTGCCAATGTAACTGATGTGAATAATACCCGTTGCTCTACATTTGATTGACAAGCCTGTCTTTTCTCGCTATCTCCCACCAGTGAGGTTCTTCATGTCACTTTTTGTTTACTTGGTGTTTAGACAACAAACAATCGGTTGTTCTTTTTTTGCTTCTTTGTTTGTTTTGTTTTCAAAATCGGTTTTTCAAGGCGGGAAGCGCCGGCGTGAGCCTCACAGGTCTTGGTCTCACTCTCTGTTTTTACACACGCTCCTGACCTTTCACTTGATCGCTCGCACCCGTGTTCTTCACCTAGGGGGGCTGTTTTTCAGTCTGATGTATTATATGAATGAAGATCATCGCAGTTATAATTATACGCAACTTTTGCAGTTGCGAAAAGAAAGCCTGAAAAAAATTCAGGCTTGTGCGGGATTCGAACCCTTGACCTCTGCGATACCGGTGCAGCACTCTGATGTATGTTAGGTCAGTCTCAACTCCTTGAGAAAAAAAAAACTCTACCTAAAGAAAAATGAGAAGAACCATGGGGGAGGGATCTGTGAACCTTTATACCTTTTGCATCTGATTAATTCTTTTGTAGACTGCACGTCCTTTGGCTCTATAAGATGGAAATTAGCTCCACAAATTTCAATATTTCCGCGTGGCATACCTCTGCTTTTTCCAACTGGGCCTGTTCCACCATATGACAGCTATTCTTTACTTGGTTGTATGCTTCAAACTCACGCTGGCGAACTTCAGCAAGGACTGCCTTCTGGCCAGTCAGTGTATTCATCAGATCATCTCTCTCCCTGTGGAAAGAAAATAATAATATAAGACAATAAACAACAAAAAAGCAAATAAATAAATTATATGATAGAATATACGAAAATAAACAAATATTTGAAAATGACTGGATAGCTTGAGTCCTCAGACGGTCCGTTGTCGCAAGGAGTCAAGAAGCGGGTTACTGTACCTTGATAAAATAATGAGTAATAGATATATAATAAATAAATAGAAGATTAATGAATGAGAATTGTTGTTAAAAACCAAGGAGTGTGATTTTACATTTTGAAAGGACCCCCCCCCCCCCAGTTTCAGTTTCTAAGGGGGGAGTAAAAATTATTGCATATTTTTCTCTAACAGTACCTTGTCAGTTTGTTGATGGTTTCCATGGCCGCATCACTGTGGGAGCTGGAAAGTAGAGCAGCTTGGTGTCCACACTTGACGCATAGCACAGGTTGGTTCCTCTAAAGGAAAAAAGGAAGGGAGCAGTCTGTATTTAATTTCCCTAACCCTGAAGCAGTTAAAACATTGGGCTAGTCACTTAGCCAATCTGCCTCCAACACCACTCTAACTTCAGCAACTTGCCAGATCACAGAAAACAAAGATGATTTGGTTAAAGTCACCTCACCTGTTCTTCCATCACTGTGTAGGCCCTGTGGAAAAAAATTATAGATTTAGAAAGGTTCTCAACGCAATCATGCAAAAAAAGCATAAGCCATATTGCATCAATTAGCCCTAAAAATTCACCTCAATTTTGTCTCAAGTTCTAACACTTGTCTCTGTGAGTCTTCTAGTTCATCTCTGTAAACAGTTAACAAAAAAGATGTTACTATACTTGTTGGTCTGTTTTTAGATAATGAATGAAATGAAAAGAATGAATGCAATGGGTAATTGGTGAGGAGGAATCAAAGAAAAATCCAATGTTTTACTCTTGCTTTGTCCTCGGCTCTAGTGACTGAAGTAATGGGATTAGTTGTAAACTGTTTAGATAGTGGTATGGCTGGATAATTACTACAAAAGTTTGAGGAGGCAGCTTGGACGAATGGCATGGCCGTGGACTTGCAATATGGAGACTCTGAGTTCAAGTCCCGCCTTGACTGCCAGATGAATTTGTTTTTGGTAGTTCCGGGTTCAAATCTTGGGTTACGCTTGTGAAATAGCCACCTGGTTCACCCCCCACCAGTTTGGATTCTTCACCTTGAACATTATGTTTCATTTGAATTATTTGTTTCATTATGCCCTGAAAAGCCTCAAACGGGGAGAGAATAATTAAGTATTAATTATTGTAATGCTATAGCTTATTATTATTATCATGATCATTTTATAATTATCATATCATATAATTACCAATGTACCATTATTCACACATTGGATAACTGCCGACCGTAAAAATACAGCTGCATAATCTGCCCACTCGTGACTTGAATTCATAAATCGGAAAACCATAACAACGAAATACATTATTAAATGCACCTTGTTGAGTAAAGAAGTGTTTCCAGATGTTTGGTCTTTGCCTCATGAAGTTTGCGTATCTTGTCCTTTAAAGAAATACAAAACATCCAATGTTTTCATTACTGACATTACTTTTCTGTCATGAGTTTAGAGCCATATCTAGCAATAGTTCATTAATACTGACATTACATTTCCATCATGATTCGAGTACCATATCTAACAGTAGAAAAGGTTAGCCACAGCTAAAAGCGTGAATGGTAGTTTTATTTCTATGTCAGTAAGGGGGACATTTACATCAGCTGACATGAAGAAGTAAAACGATTAAACTTACACCTGAGCTCGCGAATTGTCATGTGATATTTGCCAGCGGATGCCCTATTTTGACAACTGTAAATTCATCTTCATATGGATGGCATAACCCAACCGGGTATTATCTTTATTTCAAAGTTTTTGGAAAGTGCAAGTTCTAAATGTGTCATTTGACATCAACTTACATGTAGGGGGTGGACGGATGTACATGTACATACAGACAGACATACCTACAGACAGTCACATGATTGCCAAATTTTGTTGCCACCCTAGGTTACCATTTTTTCTTACCCATGGTGCCCCACTGCATGTGCTTTGTGCATGCAAGAGCTCCACTACAAATGTGAAGATTTACGGAGGGAATATGATCCTTACAGCTTCTTCTGCTTAACATACACGTGCTATGGAACTGTGAAGACTTACCACTTCTTCTTCAAGCTGGTTAACAAATCTTCTTTCATTGACAGACATAAAAAGCTGGTGAGAATGAAATTATAATTATTACAAGACTTAGTACATATGTAAATTTTTTGTTACTAAGAATTAAACAAAAATAGGACAAAACATTTAAAGAAGGGCACAAGAAAAAACATACAATTAACAAAAAACACTGAACTTTTTCAGAATTGGTCCTCTAACATTAAGCTGTCAAAACTCAACACAGTATAACCAATCGCATTCAGTTTAACAGACCTGTGACTCACGGGCACTCATTCCAAATGAATCTTCAACTAAAGAACTATGCAGAACATTTGGCATCAAAAATTTTCTTGGATCACGTTCTGTTTGATGCTTTTTCTTATCAAAACCTCTTGTGCTCTTTGCAATCCTCGCTAGAGTCATTTTCTCCAACTGTTTGACCTTTTTCTCTTCCTTTCCAGTGCTCATCAGGAGTTGCACCATGACCTCCGAGGTGATGAACTATGCGACCGTTATCATCATCATCTCCTTCCGTGTCACTATCATCTTTCTCCTTGGAATCTCTTGGTGTTTGGTCATTTGACGTTTCCTCATTTTTATCCAATGGCACCTGATCCAGCAATCCAAAATAGAGTTTGATTTAGTTTCATGTAAATCAATTTTGTTTTCTTTAACATCACTTCAATTCATTTTTATTGAGTATAATTATGTTGTAAGTCAAAGTCAACTTTGGCTTGTGATTTGCAAGCTTTTCTCGTGTTCTCCCAACATCCCATGTGGGTTATCACGCCGGTAAAGCCATAGAAAGTGTGGTCTATTGCTTAACTAAATCTAGTGGAAAATACCTCTGGTTTACTTTGTTTTTCAGTTGCCAGCACTTGGGTGACAGCTTGTGTCTTTAGTTGATCAAAAAGAGTCTCATTTTCTCTAACCACAAGCTCTGTTCTCTGCTTTAAGGACTCTAGTGCATCCTGGAATTAAAAGAGAATGTATCTTTAGAGGCCAATGGGTGTTTTATCACTGACCTAGAAAAAGACCCTCTGGTACTGGCAATTTTTTGCGTTAACTAACCTTGTAGAACTCAACTTGTCCTTCCAGATGCTGCAAGACTGCAAACTGATTGTCCAGAAGTTGAGTGACTTCACTTGTAGAAGGGATATAGCTTCCTGGCGCATTTGATGCTATGCCCTTTTTAGGAATAGAAAAGATTTGTAGAGAACTTAAAATTATCAGTCCTATTCTTCCTCAGTTCATTTAAGATCTCGAGCAGAATAGTTCTGGTTCATAAGTGGGAAAAGAATTAATGAAGCAAGTCATAAGAGCTTATGATTGATGAATGTATGATCATAATGGATGTAGAAAATTATAGAGAAAAAAAATTAGGGGGTCAAATACAAGACTAATTGGAAAAAAAATTTGAATTCCAGCTTTTCCTTTGGGCATTAGCAGCACTCACATTTTTCTTG